TACAACTATCTAGACGAGTCCCTGCTTTCAGTTCTTTTGGATATGTACTAGAAGTGGAATTGCCAGATCATACAGTAATTCTATGTTTAATCTTTTGAGGAACTGCCATAATGTTTTCCACATTGGCTGCACCATTTTACATTCCCACTTTCTTTCTTTTTTTTTTTTTTTTAAAGATTTTATTTATTTATTTTTTCCCCCAAAGCCCCAGTAGATAGTTGTATGTCATAGCTGCACATCCTTCTAGTTGCTGTATGTGGGACGCGGCCTCAGCATGGCCGGAGAAGCAGTGCGTTGGTGCGCGCCCAGGATCCAAACCCGGGCCACCAGCATCGGAGCGCGTGCACTTAACCACCAAGCCACGGGGCCGGCCCTACATTCCTACTTTCTACATTTCATTTTATATTAATAATTCATTTTACAAATTTGTCTGAAACACTCTGCAACCCTAGGTTGTGAATTTAAGGTAAGAATACCTCTTAAAACTTTTCACAGCTTACAGGGTAAACATAATTCAAATAATCAAGCTTTTATTTTCATTTAAAATATTTGTTTATTTTTGATCACAAAGTATTTGTTTTAGAAATTTGGAATATATTTAAACAATACAAAGAAAGGAAACATCACCTCTAATCTCTCCGGAGAAATACATTTTGGTGTGTATATGTATAGCCTTTTTTCTGTATATATTACACTTTAAAAAATTGTAATCATATAGTACATATTATTTTATAGCATAGCTATGCCTTACAGGGTACATTTGTTTTTTGTGGAGTTTATTTGTTTTTGTTTTGCTTTTAATTTGGGAATAAGCACATAGTTTAGCTTTTTGTTAGCATCTTCCCTCGGGATGCTTTATTTGATGGATGCATTGTAACATGGGAAGGAAAAGCATTGGGTTACCTTCTTTAAGATCCTTAGTGAATAACTGCTGAATACTTACCAAAGTAAAGGCCTATCCAAGATGGCCTAGGTGGAGCAGGCCATTTGAAGATTCTTCCCAATTAGTGGTACCTCCTCAATACGTTAATAGAATATCTTCACATATTACCCTTTGAAGCATCTAAAATTTTTTGCAACCTCTAGAATAAGGATTTCAACGAAATGTAGTTGAACTATTTATATTCCTTTAAAGTGAAATCCATACAATTAGAACAAAACTGTAAATACTTAGGCAAATTTAGTAGATGTCCTAAGACATCAGAGCTGTCCTAACTCATACCGCTCTTCTTGTGATAGATCCTTATATTTCTGAGTCAGCCACAGGTTCTTAACTCTGATATAGACTTCATAACAGATTAAATGCTAGTTAATTTTTAGTGATTCCACCTGCTTTAGCTTTTTGGATTAGTAGTATACATATATACTTTATAATTTTGTGATAGAGGGTCCAACATTGTCTGTGAAATTGATAGAATTATGATGCTTAGTGTGATTTTCTTAATAGTAGCAATAGTGCAACTGCCCTGAGGAAAATGGGTAATTGAATATCTCACCACAGTAATCTAATTGTGATGATGATGGTGGCAATTTTGAGTTAATTAGAAAATTTTGGTGGTATTTACATTTACATTTATATCGTGCTGCCTTAGTAAAGATGTGCCACATGCCCAAGCTCAGGACTCCGGTCTGTTTTTCTGTATTGCACAGAGCACATACCGGGTTTTAATACAACCACAGAACCTCTCAGAGAACCTTGCCTGAATTCTGAGGCTATCCTGTTCATGTCATCAGCTGCCCAGATTGAGTAGAGTCTGCTGAAGACATACTTTAGCCTTAGCAGTCTAGAGCCCAAGGATGTACCTTGTGCTCACACACTCTTGTGAGCTCCCTGAGGACAAAGGGCATATTTGGTCTCCAGGGCCTGCCTCCCAAAGGTTTTGGAAGAATGAAAGAATGAATGACACTCATGAGGTTTAACCAGGCAAATCTAGACAGAGCCATATTGAGGAACACATTTTTTTTTGGAAGCACTTTTTGTATTTGAAGCATTTTAAAAACAGATGCTGGTGTATATTTATGAGGCAAGATAAAGTCAGAAGGAAGTAATGTTGGACAAGTTTAGCCATTGAAGATCCAGGACTGATGTTCTCTGTAAGAATCAGAGGAATGGGAGTTGAATCCTGACTATGCCACTTACTGCTCTGTGACCTTGGGAAGTCATTTCACCTTTGAACCTCATTCCTCATCTGCTAAGAATGGATTATGATTTCTTCCTTCCAAGAGTGTTGTGAAAATTAAATGAAATAATGTATGTGAAGCTCCCTAACAGTGTCTACAACAAAGCAAGTTCTCGATCATTGTTCGTTTCCTCCTTCCTCCTCTTTATTTGTTTTGCCGGATTGTGTTGCTAGGAGTAGTTACTTGCTTGGCTAACATTACAGCCCTTCTTGTTCTCATGCATTCAGAAATCCCCCATTCTTCATTACGTCTTGAACACGCAATTACAGAACATGTTTTTACAGAACAGCTTTTTGGGAAACCCAGGCTCAGAAAACTAAGTAGCATGTCACACAGATTGGTTAAAAGTAAACCTGGGACTAAATCACAGGCCTCAGGACCCTCAGTCCTTTCCATTCTGCCAGGGCTGTTGGTGATGCTTTCTGCTTTTGTGATGGGTGTGTACATGGATGATGTATGACCTGGTTTTTATATTAACTCTTTGTAATTAATTACAAGTCTTTGGAGAAATATGTTGTAAAATAAAGTTTCAAGTAGTTTGGCGATGGGTAACTCAGTTCGTGTAATAAGCCATCATTATGAAAGTCAGCTTGATTTTTCAGGAGGTTACCAAACCCTCGGGGCAGAGTTGCCTGTACTTGATTAATGACTTCAGAATAATTGTACTGCTCTCTGGAAATTGTATGATTTTGAATGGTAATATCCCTTTGTGTTGTAATTTTAAAGGTGGTGAATCATATTTTTAGCTAATTCTTTTTATCCCCCTATTTATTTATTTAAAAGGTAATTGTATATTACATAAAATATTACATTTTGAAAACTAACTTTTACGTGGTTCATATTCTAGGAAACTATGCTTCTGGATTGTCTTGGAAGTTATCTACCTGTTTATAGGCCTTCACACTGTTTCACTTCTTGTGACTCCTTTCCCTGTCTGTTTTGTAAGAGGCACAAGGCAGGCCATCTGTGGAGCAGGCATCCTTTTAAATGTTATGTAAAAGGATGATGCATGGGCTCTTAAACATATGAGACTGAGAGGTGAAGAGTGCGCGTGCTGCCTCCGGTTGTGTGGCTTCAGGTCCTGACTCTGCCACTTACTAGTTTGAGCAAGTTCTTAAAATCCCTGTGCCTCTATTTCCTTGTCTGTAAAGTGAGGATTAAATGAATTAATAAATGTAAAATACTTGGAACAGTGCTTGGCACATAGTGCTCAAGAAGTGTTAGTTGTTGTTGTTGCTGTGATTGTGATTATTTTTTTAAATGATGCCCAAGCTCACTCATTATAAGAGAAATTCAAGTTTAAACAATACTGACACACCATGATATTACACTGTGTGGTAACGTACATTGATGGTTATTTTATATATTGTTACTATGTCAGTAGAGGACAATTTCAAATAGCTATTCCAGGTAACATAGCTGTTAGACTTTGACCCGGCAATTCCATTTTTAGGAATTTATCTTAGAAATTTATGTATAAAAAAAGACATGTATGTATACAATAATACATGCAAACAATAATTGCGGTATTGTTCATGTTAGCATAAAGACTGGAAATGACTTAAATGTCTCTCAGTGGAAACAGGTAAAGTGTTAAAGAGATGTAATGGAATGCTATATAGTACCATTGAAAAGAAATGAAGTTAGGTCTACATGTGCTCATATAGAATGATTTCCAAGATGTACTGTTAAGCGGGGGGAAAAAAGCTTCCACACATACATACATATAATGCTGTAAGTATACACTATGTCTGGAAGGAATTAGAAACAACTGCTAACAGTGGTTGCTTTTGAGGAGAGGGATGGTACTGAGACTTACTTTCCTATACCCTTTTGTACCACTTGAAACAAAAATTTTTAACATGTTTATGTATTAGTTTTTGCCCTACCCCAAATCCTTTACCTGTTACCCCCAACACACCCCCCCCCACACACACCCATGCAAGCACACTTTTCACAGCATTCAAGTGTTATTCCAGGAGTCTGGCTGTGCCGTGGTAGGGAATAGCCTGTCCTGATGGTGTTTAATGCTCATTGAATATGTGGTGTGATACTTGGGACATAGCAGGCACCTGATCCTTGTCGTCCAAGTTGGTGCTGATGGGAAAAAATCTCCCTGGATGGTGGAAACTGAGGCCTTGGCTAAGTATGCCCAAGCCCGAGGCTTGCTCTACAGATGCTGTCGGAGGTGCTGGAGACAGAAAGACCTGGGTCTTGAGCCTGCCTTTCTTGGCTATTTTTAGAGGTCTGAGAAGAAGGTGAGTGGGAAGGAACTTGAAGAGTTCTGTACCTCGTTAGGAAACCCTGGTTGTATTTATCAGCTGTTTGGTTCTATTTCAGTTTCCAGAGGTGAGAGCCAGAATGGAAACTCACTTGGCACGATTAGGGTTTTGTGCTTATGCAACCCCCTGGAATTTCTAGAAATACTTGTTAACCCGAGAAGAATTGGAGCCATGGCAAGGATTCTTTGTGTAAAACTCCTTAAATGGATCAAGTTTAGAGTTTTATGGAAATTTATACATATCTCTACTTTTTATAAGGTACTAGTTAAGCTGATTGCTACTTGCATGAAGGCTGTAGTCATCAGCTCTAACACCAAGATTGGGGTCAATTGTCTTGTTCATATGATAACTTTTCTCAACGTGAAATGTCTGCATATATGTAGAAAATGTGGACATATAAATTAGGACCAGACTATAATATTTTCTTTTATGGTTTCATCTAGTAAGTCTTAGGCTAGTGCTTCTTAATATTTTTGCCACTCTAGACTATCTGAGGGATGTCCCATTCCCATGATTAAACGGCGGCTCAGTGTGGCAGTGATTTTGTACAAGGGATGGGGGTCTTCCAGTGCATCCTGGGGTTGGTAGTGGGAGAGTGGGGAGGTAGAGGTAGTGATTCTGATTTTTATAACACACACACTCCTAGTTGAGAATTAACTGTCTTAGATAGGCTAGTATTGTAACCTTTAACTTTATCTCAGTACCGTGGGGAAAAAAATACCTGATGGGAGACCCTGGTTTCAACCAGTTAGCATGTCTTCTCTCCATTTTCTGCTGTCTGGTTGCATATGAGCATGTATGTACCAGGTAAGCACTGGTAAGTGGGCAAGACAAACAGCTGGTTCTAGCAAGTTGTTCCTCCCATTACAGGAGAAGGCCCGGGTGTGAAGGTGGAGGAAGGATTGGACACGTTGCCGGGGAAAGTGAGCAATCCATTTAACCAAAGGTAGGTAGTTTATTCTGGAATTAGCTTTTGTTTTCTTTTATTAACAGTGTCTTTTTTGTTTTTGTTTTTGTTTTTAGTTAGTTTAGTGGTTATTTAAGTTTTTTCTTGGAATACTTTTTGTTTGTTACAGCAGAGATGTCGGCTTATTTATAGGAATTACTTGAAGCCACAGTCATGGTGGATGTAGGAAAGTGGCCAATCTTCACTCTGCTCTCACCTCAAGAAATTGCATCTATTCGGAAAGCATGTGTCTTTGGCACCTCAGCCAGCGAAGCACTCTACGTTACTGACAATGATGAGGTAAGAGATCGCTCAAAACCCGGAGTTTAATTTTAAGGCTTATTTGGAGGTTGAGCTTTAAAGTGTGTAGCCTGAAGCCTGAGAAAAGGTGGAGGATAAAGAGAAGCTGAAGACTGTGTCTTGGATAGAATTTGTCTTTCCTTTCAGTTTCTCCATTTAATACCCTTCGACCCCTACTACTCTTTGAGTTTCGTAGTATAGCCAAATATTCTAAAACTCAAGAAATGTCAGCAGAGGCTGAATTTTTTTTTAACAACCATATCAGTCTTTTTCTACCTACTGAGCTGTCACACTGAACTTCAGAGTGGGGAAGGTAGCCTTTGTGTAACTTTAGGCCCAATGACTCAGACAGAACTGTTTGTTTTCTAGGTCTTTGTATTTGGACTGAACTATAGTAACTGTCTAGGAACTGGAGATAACCAGAGTACACTTATACCCAAAAAGCTAGAAGCCTTGTGTGGAAAGAAGATTAAAAGCCTTAGTTATGGCAGTGGACCACATGTTCTTCTCAGCACTGAAGGTAAAGAGGGAACAAGTCCAGCTTTTCAGTTTGTGGGAAATGGAGCAGTTCATTCTAAGCTAAGGGGAGGTAGGGAGGTATCAAGTAATTAATTTCGAATGGTTTGTTTCTTAATTTCTGAGGGGAAGTATACAAAGCAGGTAAAAGTTAAATTCAGGCTAACTCGGGAACAGCCGTAGGATGACTTGCAAAGTAAGCAAACTTCTGAGGTTTTAGACAATTTATGGAAAGCTGTGTAAGATTACATATAATATAGCAAACGAAGTGGTCCTTTGGCCTAATTTTTCAGTGGATTTGTGGTAGCAAGGCAACTTTCAGGTTTTACTTGGTATGTTTTTATAAACACAGATAATACTGATTTTCCTTCTTTTTTTTTTTTTTTGTGAGGAAGATTAGCCCTGAGCTAACATGCTAACATCCGATGCCAATCCTCCTCTTTTTTTGCTGAGGAAGATTGGCCCTGGGCTAACATCTGTGCCCGTCTTCCTCTACTTTATATGGGACACCGCCACAGCATGGCTTGACAAGCGGTGCCTTGGTACGTGCCTGGGATCCGAACCTGCGAACCCTGGGGCGCTGAAGCGGAGCATGCGCGCCTAACTGCTATGCCACCAGGCCAGCCCCTGGTTTTTCTTTCTATGTGTAGTTTCTGAATCTTGAATTCAAGAGGTCTTAGTTTATTCCCTGGCATCATGTGGGTGCCATATGGAAAGAGTGTGGGATAGATTGTTCTCCTTTTTCTCTCTGCCTCCCTAAGGTCACTAAAGGAGGAGACCATACATTCTTTGATAATTTATCTGCACTGTGGGCAACCAGAACTCTCTGAGAATCTGTTCTATATAAGCTAAGTTCTTCCCTTTATATTTCAGGCCTAGTAGCTCTTGCTCTCTCTCTAGCAGAGGTCCTCAGCTTTTTATTGCTAATCCTTTAGGGTGGCATTTGGGAGACAGTTTGTTTCTCTGCTTTTCTGTCTTAGCCTGAGGAATCACAGCTTCCTTGGATGTTGCCATAAGTCTTAGTGTTGAGCTTTTTAATTGCCTTTAACTCATAGCTGAATCCACTCTTAAGTTCTCTGCGTCTTTCTCAAGCTATGAGATCCAGATCTGAGCCTGATCATCTGGTAAGAGTATAACTGGTATCGAGCGTAATGAGGTGATTATCTCACTTTGAGTTGTGTAGCCATGCCTTCTGACGTCACACTGGCTCTTTCAGGCACTTACTACTTTGCTGACTGGTTCAGCTTGTCATCCATTGTGTCCTAATGATTTAATTTTTCCTAACACATCAATTTTAACTAGTCATTGATTTCTGACCATAAAGAACTGAGGCAGAGCCAGCCCCGTGGCTTAGCGGTTAAGTGCGCGCGCTCCGCTACTGGCGGTCCAGGTTCGGATCCTGGGCGTGCACCAACGCACCGCTTCTCCGGCCATGCTGAGGCCGCGTCCCACATACAGCAACTAGAAGGATGTGTAACTATGACATACAGCTATCTACTGGGGCTTTGGAGAAAAAAAGGAGGAGGATTGGCAATAGATGTTAGCTCAGAGCCGCTCTTCCTCAGCAAAAAAAAAGAAAAAAGAAAAAAAAGAGGAGGATGAGCATGGATGTTAGCTCAGGGCTGATCTTCCTCACACACAAAAAAAACTGAGGCAGTTTTTTAGAGAAAACATATACATTCAGATTCTTGTTTTTTTTTCAAAGTGGTGACCTTAGTAAATTATAACTCTTCTTTTGGGATTATTTTCAGAGTCTAGATCATATAGTTTTAACTATCTTGAGTGTTACAATTAAGATATAGTTGTAAATAAAGATAAAACATAAAAATATAAATGCAAATAAGTGGTTGTCTTGTGGGGATATTTTTCTTTTTGTTTTTAATTCAATTTCGATTGTCATAATACATTTTACACAATATACATTAAACATGCTATACACTATGTATCATATGTATGTATAATATGTATATTATTATGTATGTATATTCTTGTGTATTATATATGTATTACAATCAAATAGTTTTAAAATAATTTAACACTTTAAAGCATCAAATAGTATATGACTTTTAGTAAAAAACAGAAGGACCTCTGCCTCACCCCTCCTCACTCTTAGAAATTACTCTTCAGAAGGAAAACTTTTAACTTCTTCAAATGTGTCTTCTGATATTTAATCTTACATTTTTTAATTAACATGCTTCTACTGCTATTTCTGAATTTTCAATATTAGGTCTTTATCCTTGACTTTTTATAATGGCAGATAGAATTTAGCTCTCTTTCCTCTATCTTCCCTCCCCTTATCCTTTCAATATGATCATATCACCATTTGGGTTAAATCAATATTTAGTGTTTACATTTTTAGGACTTGGTGCGTATTATCTGTAGGTGAGCCATTTCACTTCTTGTACAACTGTTTGTTTCCCTGAGGTTCATTTACTTTTCTATACGTGTATCATGAATGTACGTCCAGACTCTTCTATAGTGCAGTATTGTTGCTTCTCAGCCCATCTGAGCATATCAGATCATCTCTGGAGCCCTCTGACCTGCTCGACCCTGGCCTGGTCACTCTAGGCCTACTGCAGAGCTGTGTGCCTAGAACTTCATTTCACCATCATTCTTGGAAATCCTTTCACCTTTGTCCTTTCTGGATTCCCTATTTTTTGTGTCCTATGTCTTCCTCCCTGGATTATACCCTCATTTGGGTGAAACACGTTCTCTAATAGCTTCCCAAGGAAGGGGGTGTGAGAGAAATCTTTGAGACACAGTCTTAAAATGTCTTTATCTTACCCATGCAATTGATCAGTGATTTGGCTGGGCTTAGAATTCCTGATTGGAAATCATATTTCCTCAGAATTTTGAAGTCATTGCACCTTTTAAGTTTCAGGGTTTGCTGTTGAGAGTCTGATGTCATTCTGACTTTTGCTATTTTGCATGTGACTGTTTTTTCCTCTTTGGAAGCTTTAAGGATCTTTCCTTTATTCCAAGTGTTCTGAAATAATCATGATTATGTACTCTGGTGTGGGTAATTTTTAATTTATTGTATTGGTTATTCTATTGTCTCATCAGTCTGAAAATTCCTTCATTTCTAGAAAATCTTCTTGTATTATTTCATGGATAATTTCCCTTCTTTGTTTTCTCTGTTCTCTGCTTTTTGGAATTTTTCTTAGGAAGTTAGAGATTCTCGACTGATCCTCCTAATTTTCTTATATTTTCTCTCCTGTTTACTTTTTGGGAAATTTCTTCAACTTTATCTTACAACCCTTATGTCAAATTTTAACATTTCTGCTGTTACATTTCCAAATTCTCTTTCTTGTTCTCGGTGCCTTTTTATTTTTTATTTATTTATTTTTATTTTTTGTGAGGAAGATCAGCCCTGAGCTAACATCCACGCTAATTCTCCTCTTTTTTTTTGCTGAGGAAGACCTGCTCTGAGCTAACATCTATTGCCAATCCTCCTCCTTTTTTTTCCCCAAAGCCCCAGTAGATAGTTGTACGTCACGGTTGCACATCCTTCTAGTTGCTGTATGTGGGACGCGGCCTCAGCATGGCCAGAGAAGCAGTGTGTCGGTGCGCGCCCGGGATCTGAACCCGAGCCACCAGTAGTGGAGCGTGCACACTTAACCACTAAGCCACGGGGCCGGCCCTCTGTGCCTTTTTAGAGCCTCTTGTTCTTGTTTCATGGGTTCAGTATCTTCTTTTGAGGCTGTTATATGTTATTTTTAAGGTCTCTTCTGTTCTCTGCATTGTTTCTTTTTTTCCTTTCAAATTTCTAATTCTCTTTATATTTTTTGGTCTCTGACTTTCAGGTTAGAGGCTTTCTTTAAAAGTTTGGTGATCCTTGACTGTCTGTCCACAGGTAAGAGCCAGGCACTAATACCCACATTGAGAGTACTGGGTTCATGATGGGGCTCGTCACATGCTGAGCTTCACTTTAGGGAGATACTGAAATAATTGTTTCATTAGGGATGCTCCCACTATCAGTATATGAACTTCTGCAGGGTGGAATCCTCCAGAATCCTGATCTGGATATGTTTTTTTGCCAGCTTTCGATGAGCAAGGGAAGGGCAGGGACCTCAGTATTCGGTAGGTGGACTCCCAGTTCTCCTTTCTCACTACAGCGCCTCATTGCTGCCTCCAGGGCCTCTCTAGACTATCTTCTAGCTTCTGTTCTTTGCTGTGTTATGTGGGGGAAGGGAGGGAAGCAGGTTTGGGCAAAGGCAGAAGTTGGGCTGCGGTGCAGTGACAATAAGAAATTCACAGCAAGTAAATGGTGTAAGTTTCTTGTCTTTTTCCAGGGTTGAGGAGGGGTAGTTGCCTGACCCGGCAGGAAGAGGAGGAAGATACGGGGTCTAACTGCTTCTGTTTTTAGTTGCACCCTGCACTTGCATCTCCAGTGGTCCCTGGTCCCTCTAATCCCTAGACCTTCCTGAGATTCCAGGGCTGGAATTGGCTGCCCCTTTTGCAGATGTAGGTGTCACCTTCTCTGGTCAGCCATGTTATGTACCACACCCATCTGCATTCCATCTTCCAAGATTTTGTTGACATCTCTCATGTAGTGTTTTCTTCTCTGTTGTGCTCCTTGTCCTTGAGTCTTTATGCCTTTTGTTGTTGTTCCCATTACTATCATTTCACTAGGCTCTGGGGAGGGAATAAAGATAAAAACGTGTCCAATTCTCCATGCTTTACTGGCTTGTGTGGTATTTCTAAAGGGTGTTTTAGGAAGATTTTGATCAATGCTATGTTATTAAATTGAACTTCTAGTCCCACCTGGTGACTACTCTAAAGATCAATATTCCTTTGGTATTATTATTTCACATACAGACCTAGGGCTTGTGGGTTTCTTTTTGTCTTCTGAAGCAACATTAAATTAGGTTATAAAATTATATTGTATATAATTATAAAATTAATTGTTTCTGGCCACTTCTCCAACTCAGTGTCCAGTCTCTGAAGGCTAAACTGAGTTTCCTTGAAGGTCAGAAATTCATGGGCTACTTCTTTGCCTTCCTCTACGCTCTCCCTTTCCGACTCCCTTCCCACTCCCACTCTCCTTCTAGCCTGGTAGGCTTCACTGTCACAGCCTTGGGTAATTTTGCTCATCTCTTAAGCTTCAAGTGATCCTGAAGTTTCATCCTTGGTCCATTAGAGACAGCGTGACAAGAGCAGGGCTGGGAAAGTGGACACTGGTGTCCGGTTGGATTGGGTTGCTTTGAAGGCTTCCTGAGGAATTGGGACTAAGAGCCATTTTGTGAGGAGTTCACTTTTCCTATGCTTCATCACGTAAAAAGAGAAGAAAGATGTATATATACTATTTTACAAATAGTAAAATAATGTATTAACAAGAAAGTAATTGCCAGGGGCAAATCTGGAGAGGACTGATAGCTGAGAACGGGCAGTTGGCCGCACTCCCAGCGTCTGGGGAATAAGTCCTTAATCCTGAGGGGCATCTGGGTGACACAGCACAGTGTTCACTAAGCATCTCCCATGCACTGCTCAGATCCACGTCTTCCTGTATGTTTTGGGTGTAGCTCCTGCAGGATTCTAGTGGCCCTCTTTTCCTGGGGAAAACTTCGAGGAAGATCATTAGTGGGACGAATTACAGCCTCTGTGCTGCAGCTGGTCTCATGGCCACAACTGATACTCATCACCTCCTTCCTCTAGAACCTATCCTAGATACCCCTCACATTTGGCTAGCACCTGGCTCAGGTGGCTTACCTGATTGCATGACCCAGACTCGCATCCTTGAGGGGTCCAAGCCCCTGACCAGGCTGTGTATTCTGGCCATGGCTGCTGCACATTTCTGTTTACCATCACTATTGGGCAAGTATGTACCAAAAGACCACCAAATGTCACCTGTGTGCCAACCATATTCCTCTCTGCCCCCCATTACATAACAGCAGTCCTCCTCTTCCTGTTGACTGGGGCTGTTGCCTCCGGCAGGAGGGTGACTCCTCTTCTTTCCTGTTGGTCCTTTGACTAGAGGAGCAGAGAGTGCCTATGGCAACCATAGCTTAAAGTTCAGTGGGATTCTTGCTGTGTCCCTCAGTGGAAGTGTTCCTGCTTAGGGAACCAGGCCTTATAAACCTACAGAACCTCCAGTCGTAGAGACAGGAAGCACAGACTCCCAAAGGCAGTCATTGGGAGTGATGGTCAGCAGGGCCACTCACGTATCCACTTTGGTTCCTGGACCCATGTTTTCCACCTATTAGGGACACAGCACCATATAGTGGCTATTGATTTAGAGTGTATACTTTACGTTGGAGGGTAGCATCCCATCCTCACGTGGTGTCATCTCCAGGCTGATGCCTCAGCTGTGCCTTCAGCCCACTTGCCATCACTCTCTTCAGCCTGCATCTTCTGAATGTTGTAGTATGTGATAGGACTAGTGAGCCCCATGGTCATGTCAGCACTGCTGCACTCTTTTGCAATAAAATGGGTCCCTTGGTCTAATGAGATGTTTTGTGGGATCTTGTGTCAGTGGATTAAATACTCAGTAAGCCCTCAGATAGTGGTGCTGGCTGAGGCCCTGTGGGCAGGAGACCCATACCTGGATTATATGTTGATTCCTGTAAATATGAATGGTTGCTCCTTCCAGTATGGAATGGGTCCATTGGAGTCACCTTGCTACCTTGAGGGGTTGTGCTGTATCAAGGCTCTGGTCTCAGTTACTGGTATAGTGGGCATTTAGCAGTGGTAGTAGTTAGATAGATCAGCCTTGGTGAGTAGGAGTGCAATCTTCTGTTATTTGCATTTTTCTTCTTATGAGTGACATTGAGCATCTTTTCATATGGTTAAGAACCATTTACATTTCTTATATTGTGAACCGTCAATTCGTATTTCTATAGGGTTCTTGGTCTTTTTCGAAGCTCTTTTTATATTAGAGATATTATCTCTTGGTAATATAAATTACAAATATTTTTTCTCAGTATTTAATTTTTTTCTTTGTGGTATTTTTTTTTCCATATGAAGTTTTTAAAATATATATAACTAGATTCATCTCTATTTTTGTTGCTTCTGGATTTTGAGTCATGGGAAAATTTTCCCTACTCCCAGGTTATGGAGGAATTCACTGATTTTTCTTTCTAGGTCTTGTTTGGTTTTATTTTTTACATTTAAGTTTCTGATTCATTGGGAAGTATGGTGTATGATGTGAGGAGTGAATCTAATTTTTCAATATGACTGTCCAGTTATCTCAACCCAGCTTGTAAAAAGTCCATTTTCCCCCAACTGACATAGCTTTATTTCTACATGCACTTGGAATATTTCTAGACTTTCATCTCTGTTCCATTGGGTGGTCTGTCTGTTCATGTTCTAGTATTAATCTTAGTTTTAGAAACTTTTTATGGGTTTTAATAACCAGTAGAGCTAGCTATCCTCTCACTTCTTTTTTTAGGGTTTTTCTATTTATTCTTGTTTGATCTTCCTCATGAACTTTCTAATCAGTTAGTCTAGGTCCAGAGAGTAACTTGAAGCATTTTATTGCCATTACTTTAAATTTATAACTTTACTTGGAAAAATTAGCATCTTTATGATATTGAGTTTTACTGTCTGAGAACAAGGTGTATGTTTCTATCTGTTCAAGTCTATTTTTCTGTCTTTTATGAGTTAAAACACTCCTAGATTTAGACATTTCTATCTCCTGATTTAACACATAACATTGTGGATCATTTTTCTAAGTTTTATGCTCTTTCAGTCTTGAGCCCCATCCTTCTTAGGATGAAATTTCCTATTTATGGTTTTAGTTATAATTTCTGTAATAGAGAAACCTCTTGAGAAACACACATCAGAGGGTCTCTAGATCTAGCTTGTACCTGGAAGAGGACCCTACCTTTGTTGACTTGTCGTTGTTCTAGATTAGAAAATCAGAAACCTACGTAGTTATGAGTACCTTTCCTCTGGTTGCTTGGGGACTGTTGCCTGTGAGTCACAGCCTGATAATAACACTTGGATTTCTGCTGTTGCTCTTGGATATCATTCTTGCCAGGTCCAGATTGTCCTTAATAGGTCAGCATGTTTTATTATCATAGGAAAGTCATGAGAAGAGTATATCACTCGGGGACATCTGCTCTTGATACTCAGAATGCTGTGGGAGGAAATGCACGAAACAGTGATACTTCCAGAGAGGACACAAAACAGAAAAGTTACCTCTATCAGAATCCCAAAAAGATAAAGTCATTAAAAAAAAATTCAGCCGTATTTCATACCAATAACTAGTCTGCTTGAGAGAAGCTCTGTGATTTTTATATATAGTATATACCTCTTTCCTCTGTACTTTGTGAGTGAGTGACACCTGCCCCCCAAGGGTTCTCTGAGACTTGGTATTTAGTAAAACGATGGTAAAGATTAGTGATGAGCTTTCCTGTGTCTTCTGCCTTTTGCTTGGTACCTGACACACAAACTATTGAGATGAGTCAAAGTGTTTAGAAGGTCTAATTTTTGTATCCAGTCGTGCGTCACTTAACAATGGGGATATGTTCTGAGAAATGCGTCATTAGGTGATTTCGTCACTGTGCAAACATCACAGAGTGTACTTACACAAACACAGCCTACTACGCACCTAGGCTCTGTGGTACTGATCTTATGGGACCACCGTCGTACTTGCAGTCTGTTATTTTCCGAAACATCGTCAGACAGTGCATGATTGTATATAAACTGATTTCTGACCACAAAGCTGATCTTCTTTCTATGTTTGTGCCAAGTCCTTTCTTTAATGACTTTGCATCTGTCTATCCTGTTTTCTCATCCATCCCTCTTTCCCTCACCCCTCATCAGTGGTTACTTTATAGGGAGGAGGGGGCAGAGTGAAAGAAATTAAGGTTGCAGAATGAAATTACAGAGTCTTGAGAAGAAAGTACAGGGCTTGTCATTTCTTCTTGGAGCTGATTCTTTGCGTGTGGCCATCTTGTATAGATGGAGTTGTTTATGCCTGGGGCCACAATGGATATAGCCAGCTTGGGAATGGGACGACCAACCAAGGCATTGCTCCCGTCCAAGTCTGCACCAATCTCTTGATCAAGCAAGTGGTTGAAGTAGCTTGTGGCTCACATCATTCAATGGCTTTGGCAGCTGATGGAGAGGTAAGTGCCCTGATTTTATTCTTTATTTTTAAATTGTGGTAAAATATACATAATATAAAATTTACCATCTTAACCATGTTTAAGTGTACAGTTCAGTGACATTAGGTACATTCACATTGTTGTGCTACCATCACCACTATCTACCCACAGAACTCTTTTCATCTTGCAAAACTGAAACTCTGTACCCGTTAATCATTAACTCTCTACTTCCTCTTCCCCCTAGGCCCTGGCAACCATCATTCTACTTTCTGTGTCTATGACTTTGAGTACTCTAGGTACCTCATATGAGTAGAATCATACAGTATTTGTCCTTTTGTGACTGCCTTATATCACTTAACATAATGTCTTCAAAGTTCATGTATGTGGTAGCATGTGTCAGAATCTCCTTTCTTTTTAAGGCTGAATAATATATTATTAAAATATTAATATATTATTAACATATTATTACTCAATATTACTCAGTATTATTATTGAGTATGTATATGCCACATTTTGTTTATCCATTTATTTCTTGATGGATATTTGGGTTGTTTCCACCTTTTTGGCTATTGTGAAAGTGCCTTGCTTTTAAAAAATAAAACAATGACCATAGTTGTTCTTGGTATAGTGTGAACATAGTAGTCCTGTGTGCATAGCTAAAAGCATTGTGGGAACACACTCTTTTTCTAACACAACCTGTATTGTGTGATCAAGACCGCTCTTGATGATAGTAGACCTTAGTCTTAAAGCAGTTGAGTCTCATGCTCTTTCCTAAGACTACAAATCAGATGTGTATGACAGCGTTCTGTACTTTTGTTTTTTTTAATGACCCCATCCCTTAAGGTCTTTTTTGTTTTTCAATAAATGTAATGATGTCATAGAAAATAACTTTACCAACATTATACTAGTTACTATACCACTTGTTCACCCCCCACGTTCCATGTTTATCCTAAAGGTTACTCATCCTATTGATTCTCCCTTTTAATTTCTTGTATCATTTTGTTCCTCTCCATCTCCATAACCTTAGGTCATGCTTTGTCACCTGCCTGGACTGTTGCCGTGGCTTCCCTTGTTCCATAGCTTTTTGATTGGTCTACATGTCCAATATTACTTCCCTGCCCACTGTGGTTTCTAAAGCACAAATCAGATCATCTTGTTCCCGTTTAAAGTCCTTCAGTGATGTTACAGTGATTTTACTAAGTAGGGCGGGTTATGGATGAAGAAACCAAAGAAGCTCGGGGAGATCAAGGTTTCATGGCTGGGATGTGCTGGAGCCAGGCCTAGCATAACAGGCCTTATGCCTCGGAATCCACCGTGTCCTAGTCTGTTTCTTGGTTAGTGGAATCTTAGCTCTCATTTTTTTAGATAAAAGGCAGCTGCATTGCAAGGGAACCTGGGATATTTGAGAAGTGCCAGAAGAATGATTGTTGAAATTAGAACTCACTGATTTGTACAGCCTGGATTCTTGGTTTATTTTAACCTTAAGCATATGCTACTTTGGATAATTGTGCTAAATATTTGCATTATTATGCTAGATATTCCTGTGAATCCACTTTCAGGAAGTGTTGCGGGTTCTTTCTTTTGTACCTGTGAAGTGAACCTGTAGCACATATTCTTTTAAGACATCAGCGGTGAGTTTCTCTGTTGTTGCCTTGGGCAGCATCAGACATGTGAACTCAGAAAGTGCTGACAGAGGAAAGAAAGAATTGTGGAAACCAGAACTCAGGATGTGTGAGGACCACTTCCTGCAGGCAAGTGAAGGGGGGTGGGAGAGGTCCTTAGAAATTCTCTTAGTGGTGGAGGAAGTTATTTCCTCTACTGCCAACATCCTCCCTCCCCTGATTTTTTTCTCTGTCACACTCTTGTTTGATAGGATCAGTTGGTAATTAACTTGAAGTGATTTTTGTTTTGTTTTTCGTCTTTGTTACTAGATTTTAATTAACTTAGAGATCCATTTGTGTCTCTCTCCCTTGGAAATCTGGCTTGCATGTTATGGCAGATCACAGGCCAAAAGTAAGCAGGATGCAGTTGAGGAAGGGAGCTGCTTAGAGCTGACAGACAGCAAATGAGAACTCAGAGGAAATATTACCAAGCATAGCCCGACAACCCAGTATCATTTCTGTAGGGATAAATGTCTCTTTAGTACTTGGGAGCATTCCTGTGTTATAATGTGGAACTACGATTGATAATTATAATCGTGATGGTCCTGAGTCATCAGGAAAGGTTATGTAATGTCTAGTATTGGTGATTAGTGAGACAGGGAAAAGCATAGTATGGTTTCAAAAGGTTTCCATGAAAAAAAAAAATGTTTGTGCCCAAAGAGTTAAGCAGATTTTTCATATCACTGGTACTTGTGTGGCATATACATTGTTTCCTAGTGATGCCAGATTAAAAAACAGATGTAGCTGCCATAATTATAGAGGCACTATGGCGTAGTGCTTAAGAGCACAGCTAAATGGCTTGGGTTCAAATTCCACTTCCACTATTTACTAGTTGTAGAACCTCAAGCAAGTCGCTTAACCTCTCTGTGTTTCCATTTCCATATATTAGGTGGGGATGATAATAGTATCTACCCCAGGGTCACCTTGTAGGATTACTATGAGGGTAAAATAGGTGAATGCATGTAAAGCACTTAGAGCCATTTACTCATTGTAAGTACTCATTAAGTGGGTTTATTTTTATTTTATGATTATTGTCATGTGTTAGAGGTAGAATTTTCACCCTTACTATTCTTTCTTTTTCTTTTTCTCTTCTCTTGTGTAGGTATTTGCCTGGGGCTATAACAACTGTGGCCAGGTGGGATCAGGATCTACAGCAAATCAACCAACTCCTCGAAAAGTCACAAACTGTTTACACATTAAGAGGGTGGTTGGCATTGCCTGTGGTCAGACCTCGTCCATGGCTGTTCTGGACAATGGTGAGGTGAGCTATCTCTGCGTTCCACTTTCTGCTTCCACCTCCTCTTTCAGTGAAATGTCATTTTCTTCATAAGGTGCATGTATTAGGTCATGGGAGGAAGAGAGCTTCATTTTGATAGCTAACTGGTTACTGACTGAGGAGTAACCAGAGGATGTTTGCTCCTCAGTATGAATTTTTAAATTTCAAGATTTATCTGCAAGTAAAAATTCTAACGTGTCTAAATTTTACTTTTTTGCAAGATCCAAATAGCCTAATGCTTATAGGTGTGTGTTTGCGATTTAATGTCATGGATTAAAGAATTTGACACTGCCTCTTTCTTCCAAGGAAAGAATCAACTGTGCAGTCTTTTTTTCTTTTTTTTTTTTTTGAGGAAGATCAGCCTTGAGCTAACATTCATGCCAATCCTCCTCTTTTTGGTGAGGAAGACCGGCCCTGAGCTAACATCTATTGCCAATCCTCCTCCTTTTTTTTCCCTTTTTCTCCCCAAAGCCCCAGTAGATAGTTGTATGTCGTAGTTGCACATCCTGCTAGTTGCTGTATATGGGACACCGCCTCAGCGTGGCCGGACAAGCAGTGAGTCGGTGCGTGACTGGGATCCAAACCTGGGCCGCCAGTAGTGGAGCACACGCACTTAACCGCTAAGCCACGGGGCTGCCCCCTCAACTGTGCAGTCTTTAAGGTTAGCTGATGGGGGGCCAGCCCAGTGGTGTAGTGGTTGGGTTCGTATGCTCTGCTTCAGCAGCCTGGGGTTCGCGAGTTCAGATCCTAGGCGTGGACCTGCGCACCACTCATCCAGCCATGCTGTGGCAGCATCCCACATGCAAAGTAGAGGAAGATTCGCACAGGTGTTAGCTCAGGGACAATCTTCCTCACCAAAAATAATAATCTATTGTTGACCTGATTGACATTGCCATCAATTTAAAAAAATAAATAAATAAATAAAATAAAGTTAGCTGATGATGTTTATAAGCAGTCAGTGATTCCAGTGGGCACGAAGTCTCTGTAGAAGTCCCTGCCTACATCTGGAATGTTTGTTCACAGGAGGAAGCAACTTGCAAAAGAAGTTTTTGTCCTGACTGTTGTTAGCTACTTTCAAAAACCTACCTTTCGGTGATTCTCTACCATGCTTTGAGCTGATGGTTATTTCTATAAAATTGTTCTCATTGCAACTTCTACTTAAATGGACCTGTTACCATCTATGTATGCCTTAGTGCACAAAAATATACAAAGATATGTCTTTGGAGACAGACATGTGGAATCATGCATTGGGGTTCTGGGGTGCTTTAGAATTTACTGAATGCTCACTCATGTTACTTATTTTTTTAATCAATCCTGATATCATCCTGGATGACTTCAGAATTCCTTGAGATAGTCATCTAACATTCTCCATTTCAGTATTCTTCACTTCTCCTTTTTTTAAAAAAAATTAATTTAATTTTAAAATTATTATTATGTGGTTATTTTAACAAAGGAAAACAAATGAAATGTAAAAAGTAAATACCTTTTCCCCAGTCTTGTTAACAGTTTGATATATAGTCTTTGGGCTTTTCTCCATAAACAATTACAAAGAGGTGAATATAATTTCCCTTTTTAAAAAAATGAGATGATTATACCTACTGCTTTTTTTCTGCTATCCTGCGACTTCCCTTCTTAACAACATATATGTTTTACCTGAATCTGTGCTCAGACCATTTATAGCTGTTTTCCATTATAATGGCTGCTTAGTTTTCCTTGTGTGGATGTTACTGTTTCTTGCATGGATGACCCACTTCCAGAGCTCTACTGATGGACATTCCAATTATTTCTAATTATTTGCTGTTATAAACAATGTTGCACTGATTTTCTGTGTTACTGTTTGTGTGTGTGTGTATATCTTTGTACACTTGTGCAAGTATTTCTATAGAGTAAGTTCCCAGAAATAGGATTTCTGGGTCAGGGAGTATGCCGTTAAAAATTTTGATAGCTGTTGCCAAATTTCTGTCCAGAAAGTTCAGACCTGTTACACTTCTGACATTGAAAGCACTTGTAACCATCACTTGCTAGAACCCTAAAGTCCATGACTCCTTTCCTGTTTTATCACATTGCCCTGAGAAGCCCCAGCCGATGCCCGTTTGCCCTGTATTACCGTGGGGTGTGGTGCCACCACACATCTCGGGTTTCTAATTTGAGCTAGACCTTTTGTCTGTTCCTGGTCTACTTTTTCTTCTCTCCCACACTGGCTGTTCTAAACCTTTAACACTCCTGTCAAACCTGTGCCCAGCTCTGCCCTTTCAGCTGATGACTACCCTGTCACTCCAGGTATCCAAGGGGTCACCAAGTTCCGCTACATCTGCCTCTCTAACCTCTTTCCTATCCACTCCCTCTCTCTTGGTCCCACTGTCACTGCCTTAGTTTGGACCCTCACCAGAGCTCACCTGTTTGCTGATGAGAGACAAATTTGTCCACCAAATGGTGCCTACCTCTAGTCTTATGCATTCCAGTTACCCTTCATGTTGTGGCCGGTGTGATCTTTCCAAAAATGCAAATTTAATCATATTAATCTCTGTTTTGAAATATTTCAGTGGAAGATCCACAGATGCATTCCCTTTCCCTGCTATGTGTTTTGACACTTTATCCCTGGCCCTTACCTTTCCTTCTAGTCTTTTCCCTACCACTAACCCCGGACGTGTCCAGCCAGGCCACCTGCTTGTCTTCTGAACCAGCCTCCGACACATTCTGTGCCCTCTCCCTGGAATGCCTTCACCCGTCATCCTTCACCCCTGCTCAAATTTCCACTTCTGAAAAGTCTTTCCTAAACTTTCTTCCTATAGCTAAATCCTTTCTCCTCTCTGCTCCTATAGTGCCTTGATTATGTCTCTATTATAGCACTTGCCACCTGGCTGCAAAAAATTTGCATATGTCCATCTCCCTTGTTAAGCTGTGACCAAAAACTTATTCCTCGTATCTTGCACAATGTCCTGACGTAAAATAGGTGCTTAATAATTGTTGATGAGCCTCAGCTTACTCATGTATAAAATAAAAATTAGTGACTTGCCCAGGGCTGTCCAACTAGTAAGTTATGGAGTAGGAACTGCCAAACTCTGTCATCCCCACCCCTAAAGCATCTTCTATTTGGAGATCAGTGTAGGATCACATAGCGTAGAATATGGGTGTTGGAGTGAAGAAAGTGTACTCGATTTGTTTAGACGGACTGCATTTTTACCTCTTCCCTCTCACTAGCAGTTTGAAAAGCCTGTTCTCTCCCTTCTCTCCCTAAGGTGTATGGATGGGGTTACAATGGCAATGGTCAGCTGGGCTTGGGAAACAATGGCAATCAGCTGACCCCTGTGAGAGTGGCAGCTTTGCACAGCGTGTGTGTGAACCAGGTACGTGTGGTGGACTCTTAGCTGCTGGTCCCCATCTATCTTCCCTGCTCTGACTTGGAGGAATGTTGAAGATTTACTCTTCAATAAATCTTTTCAAACAATACCCTGTACCTTCATCTTCCACATTTAATATTATGTTCTCTCTAAATTCCCACCATGAGAAGGAAGACTGTGGTGCTGGGACATCAATGTTGACAAGAAAAAAAAAGCTAGTGGAAAAATCCAGTGGTTTCAGGTTTAGGCTTTTCTAATGCTTTTTTAATGTTCCAGAGAATGTCAGTCCACACTTGATGATGAATTGGCATTCTGCAGAAGCTGGCTGTAATCGTTAGGTAGATGTTTTCCCTGCCCTTCCTGTTTTCCTGTTTATGGTAACCATTCAAATTTACTTGCAGATTGTCTGCGGCTATGCACATACTCTAGCACTAACAGACGAGGGCTTGCTCTATGCCTGGGGAGCTAACACGTATGGGCAGCTGGGAACTGGCAATAAAAATAACCTGCTAAGCCCAGCACACATCATGGTGGAGAAAGAAAGGTAACTTGGCTGTGCTGTGTCTTGAGATTGTGTGTGCATTGTGGACTTGGGACTGTATGTGCTGGAGCTGTGGTGTTTGGCTTTGTAGCTCTTCTGTTTATTAACATTCTCATTTTGAACAAAAGAGTTTGAGTACCAGCCAGAATGACCGTGAAGTTGATATGATTCTTGTGCAGCTTTCTAAAATAACGTCCTGTGATTGGTAGGCATTGGTATAATTCCTGCTGACTTCTTGTTGCCCATTTAGTAGGGAAGTAAAAGAGGGTCTATCACCTAGTTGAAATTCAAAGTGTAGTACAAAGTTTTCCTTTGCGCCAACTAAAACAACTCTAAATAAATAAAATCTGCCTTTGAAAGGACATTATCTGTTTAAATATTGATTTGATTTAATGTGTGTTACTGGAATAGATGCTTAATGTTTGTTCTGCCAAATTGTGAGATCTTAGCCACTGAGTTTTAGAATGTTGACTTCTGATTCCGGAACCCTGCCTAAGAGGCGTACTGAGAAATGTAGTACGTTTGGCTTGATGCCCAGTGGATTGGGATGTTCCGAGTCCATGACCCCTAGACCAGTGCTTATCAGCCTAATGAGTGTTCTGAGCTCTGGTAGGGGATGAGAGGAAAAGTTGTATTTGTAAGGAAATGATATGTTGGCGACAGTATTTTTTTTGCTGCTATCTAAGCCCCTAAAACTGTCAGGGCATTTTGTCAGAGTCCACTTTCCTCATTTCCTTTGGTTTCTAGTCCCTTTTTCCAGGTTTTCCTCAACAGTATGTTTTATTTATCCTAACTCAGAATGAGGTTAGGATGAGAAGTGGGGCGATGGGAAGGGGGAAATGCAGTGCTCTTGCTTCAACCTTGTGGTTTTGTCCATATGACTTGGCAGCTAATGTCCCTTGATCTTGGGCTGTTTTTTGAGGTGTTCCAAGCATGAACATTTCATTTACCTTGTGTGGTGTGCTGTAGGCTTTTGTGATAAAGAAGTGACAAGCATTTTTCTTAAAACTTTTCAGGGTAGTAGAGATCGCAGCCTGCCACTCTGCCCACACATCTGCTGCCAAGACCCAGGGAGGACACGTGTACATGTGGGGCCAGTGCCGGGGCCAGTCGGTGATCCTGCCGCACCTCACCCACTTCTCCTGCACTGACGACGTGTTTGCCTGCTTTGCCACGCCCGCCGTCTCGTGGCGCCTCCTCTCTCTAGGTAAGAAAGCTCAGGGCTACTTCCACCCAGAAAGAAGGGTACTATCAGCTGACCAGTTTTCCTGCATATTTGCTGATTATCGGCTCTTTTAGGTTCCAGAATGTTTTCTTCTCCATTAGCTTTAATACATTTTCCCAAATTAGATTTGCATAATAGAATATATTCATATGTGATGAAATATTATATGGTCTTATTATTTTCTCCCCTTAAATGCTTTCATTTTAATTGAGGTGAAATTCACATACATAAAATATAATCATTTAAAGTGTACAATTCAGAGGCAGTTAGTACATTCACAGTGTTGTGCAACCACCATTTATATCAAGTGGTAAAACATTTTCATCACCCTAAATGAAAACCCCATATGAATTGAGCAGTCACTCCCTATTCTCCCTTTCCCCCAAGCACTGGCAACCACCAATTTGCTTTTCGTTTCTATGGATTAACCTATTCTGGGTATTTCATATAAGTGGAATCATACAATATGTGACCTTTTTTGGTCTGGCTTCTTTTACTCAATGCTTTTGAAGCCCATCCATGTTGTAGTATATATTAGTATTTCATTCCTTTTTATAGCTGAATAATGCTCCATCGTATGTATATACCACATTTTGTTTATCCATTTGTCTGTTGATGGACACTTGGGTGGTTTCCACCTTTTGACTATTGTGAACAGTGCTGTTATGAACATCCATGTACAAATATTTTAGTAACCTGTTCTTAAGTGCTTTTGTTATACTAAATTTATTACATAATTCAATACAATATGAACCAAAAGTGAACTTTAAAAAAAGTAAAGAACTTGTGGTTTTTAAGGTGACATATTAACTCTACTTTCTTTCTTTTTCTTTCAGCCAGTCTCTTGAATAGTTTTATTTCAAAAGTGCATCAAAACAGAGGTTTTTATAAAGGGTAGTGAAATTCAGGGTGATCTTTGGTTACATAATCTGTCCTTTTTTGAATATTGTTTTCTTTAAGAGTCCATTATTGATCAAAGATATTAAAATGTTGTACAGCTGAATAGTCATTAACTGGATGATTTTAATTTCTTTTCCTTTTATTTCTTGTTCATTTCTTTTTGCTAATGCATTTCTTTATTTTTAAAATTTTTTTTTAATTTTTTGTGAGGAAGATCAGCCCTGAGCTAACATCCATGCTAATCCTCCTCTTTTTGCTGAGGAAGACTGGCTCTGAGCTAACATCTATTGCCAATCCTCCTCCTTTTTTTCCCCAAAGCCCCAGTAGATAGTTGTATGTCATAGCTGCACATCCTTCTAGTTGCTGTATGTGGGACGTGGCCTCAGCATGGCTGGAGAAGTGGTGCGTCGGTGCGTGCCCGGGATCTGAACCCGGGCCACCAGTAGCAGAGCGCACGCACTTAACCACTAAGCCACGGGGCCGGCCCATTAATGCATTTCTTCTAAGTTGTCCTTCATTTGTATGCAGAGAGAATAAGTGGGTCATGATGCCCTGTGTTTGAAAATTACTGTAGCTCTTGACAACCAAGGACTTGGGTTGCTCAGCAATTGATATTAAAGGCTAGTCTATAATATACATCGTGCTCAGGTGTGTCAGACGGCTGGCGCTGTCCCATCGTCAGGTGCCCAGTCTTTATGGTCGTGGGGGCAAGAGTATGTTTAGGAAGCGTTAAGCTGCTGCTCAACTTAAAGTGAAACAAATGGAACACTTCCAGGTTCTTTCGCTATAGTACAGTATTTGTTTTGCAGTGAACCTTGTGATTAGAAAAAATTTAGTTCCCAGAGTGGGACTATTGGGCGATAATCACACATATATGTATAGCACGCACAGTGAAAGCACTCTGTATGCATCTTCAGATTCCCGTGTACTACTTAACCTGGACCTGTTTGTAAAAGTCTTCCCAGGCTCTTGCATCTTAAAATGGCACAGACATCCTTTTCAGAACAAACGTCCTAACATTTTTGAGTGTTAAGTTTGGAAAAAATGTGGTCATTGGATATATCTCCCAGATAGCTTCTTTCCCTTCCACCCTCTAAAAGTCAGAAGTCTTTTTTTCCGCTCAGTTTATGATCTCAGCTGAGTATTAGGAAGAAGGTCAGAGGTGAATTCACACCTCTGAAGAATATTTCTTCTCCAAAAGGAAGTATTATACTTGTTGCCAGAAACCAAGAGGGGAAAGGTTATTTTAACCTGTTGACTAGATGCAGAAGTTGAGGCACTGATAAGAAGCTATTTTTTGGATGGGTGGGTAGCAATCTAGACCCCTGGACTCCTTGCTTAGTCATTTCCTTTCTTTTATTCACCAGGGATCCAGGTTACAGGGTCAGGGAAAGCCTGATTTTTGAGAGATTGTCCACTTTTCCTCCATAGCCAAGAGGGCTCTGCATTGTGGGAGTTGGGGAGGGCTGTGAGTTAAGGTCACAGGGCTTAGGTAAATGAGATTTCCTTGGGAAGTTCTGATAATAAAACTCATGGATAAGTTCATTTGTTAAATTTCAGCCTGAGTTTTCGCAGTTGTCCCTCCTCTAAGAGTTGCCCTGGTAACGCTAGGCTACTGAGAGACACAGCTCAGTTCTTTGAATGCCATTCTCATTTGGTGGGCAGTCGAAATGTGTCCCTCTGTCCATAGGACCTTCGTTCAGGGCCGATGAGGATCTCTGGAATTTTTTTATTTCCCCGTTAGTCGTCTTCTGCTTGTTTGTACATATAAAGCACAAGAAAGTGTTGCGTGAATTTGCACAAGTGCCTTTACTTTTCTTCCTAATAACACAATTCTGCTTACGTATAACCATAACAGCAATTCTGCTTCTTATTAGGCAATGTGATCACATTTTTGTAAAACTGTTCCCTTTGAGTATACATTGTTACTAAGTAAATTTGCTCTATTTTTAGATAGTATGTAAGGATTATTGTTTCTACATTAATTTTTAGGGTTAAGAGGGATGTTTAGATTCCAGATAACTAGGAAAAAGGGTTTCTCTGCATAAGGACATGACTCAGCATTACCACTTAAGTGGTGAGTTTGTTTTTTGACACTCCTTGAGTTGAATATACCAACCCCTTGAAACTACCCCAGAGCAGAGCAAAGGTGTTCTTAGTGTTTCAGTCAAGGAAAATTGATAAATTCTTAGTCTTAGAAGAGAACCACTCAAGTTTTGAGAGAGTGGTTATATAATCATAGACTACTTATAACTTTTTCTTTTTTTGAAAATACACATTTTTAATGTCTTAGTATGTAAGACTGGTATTTAGCCTTTCCAAATACATATTTTTTTGTGTACTGTATAGACTTAGGATACTTATTTTAATACTGTGAAATCGATTTGTTAAATAAGGCATGAACTCTTTTGAAAAAAATCTAATGGAATCATCTGTTATGCTAATGATTATCTTTTTGAAGTCTTTCAAATCTTGAGTATGTTTCCTGAGCTTCCTGTATTAATAATGTGTTTGTTGCCTTCAGAGCACGAAGACTTTTTAACAGTTGCAGAGTCACTGAAGAAAGAATTTGATAGTCCAGAAACTGCTGATTTGAAGTTTCGAATTGATGGGAAATATATCCATGTTCATAAAGCTGTTTTGAAAATCAGGTATTTTTGCATGAGCTTGGAGGCATCAATAACCTTACTTTCTTGCAATCTCCATTTCTTTGTTATTCCACAAAATGGGGGCTGATAAGAAATAGCCTTGGCAGTAGAGAGAAATGGCACAACTTAATATTTTTGCAGATAGTATCAGTCTACTCATTTTTGGAGAGTTCTGCGTGTGTGTGTGTGCACACACTCATGTGCCTTTTAGGAAAAGTGTAACACGGTAGTCTAAGTATTTCTCTATATTGTTTTTTAAGTGAAGAATCTTGTGAATACTTATTTCCATCAAAACATTTGTTTACGGGGTTTAAAAAAAATACAAAAGATTGTCAGTGAAAAGTACATATGTCCTCTTTTAATTAAAGATTCATTATCCCCAAGTAGAAGACTCTCATAGTCAGGAATGCTGGACTTCTGGCCCTGAGAGCCATCTAATTCCCAATTAAAGACATGTTCTTGGGATATAGTAAATGGCAGGAGTTTTTTGTATAAAGGTGATGGAACTTCATATTTGTTAATAAGTGTTTGGACTGTTGCTCAATGAGGCTGCCATTACAGAGAAAGAGGCCAGTCAAATCAGACCATTGAGAGTTAAACTGGCCGTTTACAAGTCTTTTTGGAAATTTAGTTAGAAACTTATTTACAAAATAACATGTTTTAAGGGAACTGAAAAGCCATATGTTATTCATTACTTAAGGGAGTAAGTATCTGAACGAAAGTATTAATTGAAGAGATGAACTGGAAATGATTCTATCTGTGAACCTATGGTCAGCCAGGCTATTCCCTTCATGTATCATTTTCTGACCCATTTTACCTATTATTTCTTGCTCAGATAGCTATTTCTTTTTACTTCTTAGATGAAGTAATTTCTTATGTAAGGAGAGCCATTCTTTTAGTATTCTGAGTGGATTTTGAAAATATTTTGTATTTATACCATATCTCATTTTAAAAGGATTTGAAAAGATGATTTTTTAAAAACTGTAAAGTTATGTTATACTTTAAGAAAATCTAATATTCAGAAATCAGTTCCTCATACAGGTGGATTGGTACATGTAAATACAATACAAAAAGACCCGCTTAGGTTTTCTTGAAATATGTGACTATCCTAGCAAACGTGTTTTATTAGATAAATTGGTAACAGGCTTGGGAGGAGAGGAACAGGGAGCAGGGCAAAGCACAGGAACAAAATAGGAGTGATGGCTGTTTTGAAGAGGAGTCAGAAAAGAAGGAAATTGTCATATAAGGTAAGGGAACAGTAATCAGCTTAAATGTAATCTAGTTAACGTTGAAAACAGTTTAAAGAATATGCTGATTACATGAAACAAAAAACAAATGAATCATTTAAATGATGTTATATAATCAAAAGTTTTAACTCTTGTTTCTTTTTTTAAAGGATTGCTGTTTTGCCAGCGTTTCCCATATATGGGACTGTTAAGAGATGAGACTTTTTTTTTTTTTTTAAGGAAGATTGCCCTGAGCGAACATCTGTTGTCAGTCTTCATCTTTTTATTTTTTCTCCCCAAAGCCCCAGTACATAGTTGTATATCCTAGTTGTAGGTCCTTCTAGTTCTTCTACGTGGGATGCCGCCTTAGCATGTCTTGATGAGCAGTGAGTAGGTCTGCCCCGAGGATCCGAATCAGCGAACCCTGGGCTGCCAAAGCAGAATGTGCGAACTTAACTGCTATGCCCCTGGGCCAGCCCCTGAACTCTCATTTCTGAATTTCCTGTAATTTCATTGTTTAAAATGCATTTCTGTAGAGCATCTTTTTAAAAAAACAAGTGAGCCAAAAAACTTGATCTGAATGGGGGCTGTCAAATGGAAACGGTAGTACTGCTTAAATGCTGAAGTGAATTGGTCTACATGTGATACTTAATATTTAACAGGAAGTATTCATCAGAAATGAAAGTGAGTGTACTTGAAAGGCACATATAAAGCCCTTGCACATGGAGTGTTTTTAGGATGCTAGCTACAGATTCATGATCCTGGAGTGTGCGAGCCCAAATATGTAGCACTTAAGGATACCTGTACTTTTTATCTGATTCCATCAACTTAATTAGGTAACTTTTGCTGTTCTGTTTTAGGTGTGAGCACTTTCGATCCATGTTCCAGTCTTACTGGAATGAGGACATGAAGGAGGTGATAGAAATAGACCAGTTTTCTTACCCAGTGTATCGTGCCTTTCTCCAGTACCTCTACACAGATGCAGTCGATCTGCCGCCTGAAGATGCTATAGGTACTTCAGCCACTTGGGACTGGCCAAGCCACATGGTCAAAATATATCTCCTCATGTTCTTATAGTATTGGAATGTAAAGTGTCAGGTTTATTGGATTTTACATGGTTTTTAAAAGATTTGAAGTAAATGTCTTTAAAAATATTATTGTGTAGATGTTAGCTCAGAGCCGGTCTTCCTCAGCAAAAAGAAGAGGATTAGCATGGATGTTAGCTCAGGGCTGATCTTCCTCACACACACACAAAAAAATTATTGTGTAGTCATCATGGTTAATAATTATGGACAGTTCATTTATGACTTTGGACTTATTTTAATTTTTTAAGACTGATGTTGTTAATGATTTAGCATATCATTTTGGAAACAAAATGAGAGAAATTCCATTTTTTCCCCTTCCTTTGTACTATAGAAGAAATTGTATAAAGTGAGTATGGAAGAGGAATGTTTTGGAGGTGGGGGAGATAAGGAGTAAAAAGAGAATTTATTTAATAAAATTCAGAGTATTATTCACTAAGAAACCTCTGCTGGTTTATCTACATAACTGTTCATCAAAATGAAATATATATGTGTAGATATTATGGGAAATTATCATAACCTTGATTTAACCTTTCACACTTTTTACTTTTAGGTCTTTTGGATTTGGCGACATCTTACTGTGAAAACAGACTGAAAAAACTTTGTCAGCACATTATCAAGCGAGGAATCACTGTGGAGAATGCCTTTTCATTGTTCTCTGCTGCAGTCAGATATGATGCAGAGGTAACATAACACAGCAGAGACCACAACCACCCTAAGTCCCCGCGTGCTCTGTCCCCCCTTTTTCTCGCATGAGGCAAGGAACGTGATGAGTAATTTCACTTCTGTTGTCAATGAACGGACTGATCCCTAAAAAATGAAATCTGGCCTCACTTGTTCATTCTCTGTTTGTAGTTTCAAAAATGATTGTTCCTCTACTTTCATTTTTAACTAAGAAAAGAAACTAGCTGAGGTCTCAGCAGCTGTACTGCAGGTTGGAATGTCAAGTGCCACAACTAATGGGACTAACAAACAGCATGTTTTAGTTTCAAGTATTTATCAAGGTCAGCGTATATATTTTTTTCAAGACCCACTTTCTTGTCTCCCCAGTTCTCCCCTGTCACAAGGCAAGGATGCTGTATGATTTATATCTGTGTATGCTCTGAAATTCTATCATTGTCTAGTCGTAACTCACAATTATTCATGTATGAAGAACTTGCTCTGGATTCCTTTTTGTTTGTTTGTTTTTGCACTGGATTGAATTCTTAGTCTGGGATTCATGGATCTCTAGAGAGTCTATGAATGAATGGGCTTTTGGAAGTCTGAAATTTTGTGTTCATGTGCATTTTCTTGAGGTTAAGAACCACAGCATCATCAGATTGTAAGCTCTTCATGAGCAGGAACTATATCTTATTCATCTATGTGTCTATAGTGCCTGGCACATAGTAGGTGCTGGATGATAAATGTTTGTTGAATTGAATGAAGCTCATACCACCTGAAGGATGCATCATGGGTGATTAGTGAATTGAAGGCTGGTATGGTTGGGTTTACAGACTCATAGACAATAAAAGGTAGAGAGTAATAGCTTTGGAGTTCAAGATATCTAGCTAAGGTATGCACCCCAAATGGCACAATTAGTCTGTTCTCATACGTATTTTGTCATCATATGACGAGGCAGAATACCTGGTATCAGGGAATTGACCAGACACCTGCAGAGATCTGCAGCTGTGGCCTCAGAGATGTGGTGGAGGATATACTTCATCTTTGTCACATTTAGGGACTGAAATGGACCATTATGTCTATATTTTCAAGATGTATCCTATTTTTGTTTGAGATTATATTATGATTATAAATATTTGATAAGGTCAAATATAGCTGACTTTATCTGTGGCTTGACAACAAAGGGAATCAAAGTAAATCATTTCTAATAGGAAATGGAAGTATAGTTTTTTTTCCTACCCTTTTTGTGACACCATGAACTTCTTTATTAGAAGTGTTATTTCCTTAGATTTCATTTCCACCCAATGATATAATTTTAAATTGGTTGATGACTTTTCTCTCCATTTGGTGGTTGATTTTATTTATTTATTTTTTTTTGTGAGGAAGATCAGCCCTGAGTTAACATCCATGCTAATCCTCCTCTTTTTGCTGAGGAAGACTGGCTCTAAGCTACCATCTATTGCCAATCCTCCTCCTTTTTTTTTTTCCCCCAAAGCCCCAGTAGATAGTTGTAAGTCATAGTTGCACATCCTACTAGTTGCTGTACGTGGGACACGGCCTCAGCATGGCTGGAGAAGCGGTGTGTCGGTGTGCGCTCGGGATCCGAACCCGGGCCGCCAGTAGCGGAGCGCGTGCACTTAACCAAGCCACGGGCCAGCCCGGTGGTTGATTTTAGAATCTTCTCTGTCTCTCCACACTCCTCCTCACAGCTAATGAGTTCCGTAGTCTTGGGATTAGGATCCTGCTAATCGACTAAAACCCCTCAGAACCTCCTGGGCAGAGGCAAACATCTCGGCTCTAGTTGCTGGAAATCCCTTCCTCACTTGCATCTAAAATCTACCCCAGAAAGTTTATAGAAAAAGCCTTATGCCACTTCTACCCATGCCAGCTGATCATTTCCTTTACTAGTTTTCATTTTTCTCATATTAAATATAAATTGCATTAAAAACTGGCCCTTATTTGAGACCACAGGTGCACGTGATTCCCCAGAGTCTGTCACAGTGTGGGCATATAGTTGGCACTCAAAAATATACGTTGAGTTGAATGAATGAATGAATATACTTGAAACACCTCGCCATGAAGGTGTGCTTTTTAAAAAATGTAAAAGAAGTACTTTTACATTTTATTTCTTTAATGCTATAGAATGTAGTAAGTAATACTTTAGAATATAAAAATGAAACCTACTTACTATATCTATTAGTTAATGAGAAGACACTACTAAGTTGGATTTGAAATTAACTGGGAAAATGATTATTTTCAGAAGCTCAACTTGGGCATACTAGATGACTTCCCTTTCATTCTGTGGGTTGAAATGCTAGAAGATGGCAACTACCTGCTTCTCACGTTTCTTCTCTTTTCTATAAAAGTTATCGTGGTTCCTCCATACCCTCTTTTGAGAAGATAATTTTGAAGCAAATGTACACACATAAAACCAAAAAAAATGTATTGACTCCATAGTTCTGAGGATTTTAAAAAGTAGGCTGAATTGTTGTGGAACCCTTGCATTATGAATGCATTGTCAGACTTTCTACGGGTTTTAATAGAGTAAAGAAAGCCTTGGAGAAGGAGCACTCAAATATTCCTGTAGTACAAACCCAAATAAATATTGACATCAAGGGAGAAAATGTCAATAAAACATTGTCTAAAGATAGTTCTGTATCACATTATAAAGATTTTGAAATGCTTCTATTTATAGTGTTTCTTTTCAGGAAATTTTTGTTTTCTATGTATATTTGAACATTAGGAGAAACTAGGGAAGTATTATTTGTTTAACCAGAGCAGAGAACTTTCCAGAAAATCCTACTTGCTGAGCAACTTACATCTTAGAATTTTGCTTTTGGTGGGAGGTAATAAACATGAGCCCAGGAATCTAATTCCGAAATTAGTTTGGGATATGAGTATTGGAAAACTTTGTGCTAAAGCCATATGTTCAGCATTTTTATCTTCTGTCAGAGGGACAAATTAAAAGTTTTCAATGATCAGTAGACTGTAAAATATTTTTGGGGTAGTGAGAGAAAGCACCTTTAGTTTTTATCATATGGTAAGACATTTCAATACATTCTAGAAAACAAAAAACAAAACCCACTTAGATCTGGAATCTTTTTTACTTGATATACTATAAAATGAATTCCAGACTTGATTTTTGGGTTTTGTTTTGTAATTGCTTCAACTAAGTTTGGACAGAGTCAGGTGTGGTTCACAATCTTACCATCTGGAATGTGTCTCAAGAGGGGCTGGTGACTCAGGCAACCTGTCTCACTCTGGCCAAGTGGCCTTCCACAAGAAGTCTTAGCATTCTATCTTAGCTATCTTAAGCTTGGGATTTTAGGACTGGATAAGAACTCCATTAAAGGCCGCATTAGCATTTTAAAAATGTGGATATTGAGACCATCTATTCTCTGTGGTTTTTATTATTAAAGAAAACCTGTGGAAAGGAAAAACAACTTATTTTCAGAGTATGTATAGGGATTGGAATAATTTAATCAAAAATTTTGGAATGAATTTATAAATTATTTCAGAAGAGCAATTTTGTATTTTGATCTTCCTTGCTAATTACAGCAAATCTGGTATTTTATCTGATTTGCATCAGAACCACTTCATAATAATTTCACTGCAAAATGTCATAAATGTGGACTCTAGTTTCTAGAATACCAAGAATCCTGTATTAGACTCCTTGATTTTATATCCTCTCCCACTTCCCTGTTCCATGGGCCTTGAGAAGACCCTCATTCTGTTATGAGCGTTTGTCATCTACTGGTCAAGTGATCCTTCTCGTCCTTCTTGGAAATGTCTTCTTTAAAGCCTGGCAGTTCTGTTAATAGTTGGCTTATTAGTTGGGTAAGAGTTGAATTTTCTAAGTAATTGAAGATCTGATCCTTTGCAGAATGAGGTGAGGAGATCATGTAGGTTCTTACAGTATTTAAGAATTATCAGAAGGGTGTTTGTCTGATTCATACTCAAAGACAAACTGGCTTAGGGCATTGGCTGCTGAGCGAGTCTGTTTGGTGGTGTCACTCTCTGGTTCATGCAAATGAACTTGCAAATTCCAATTTCTCTCGCTCCAGGTGCGTTCAATGCTTCCTTTTCCATGGATCTGCCTTAATCAAGGTTCAGTTAGGGCTGGACCAGTGGTGTAGTGGTTAAGTTCACATGCTCCACTTCTGCGGCCCCAGGTTCACGGGTTTAGATCATGGGCACAGACCTACGCACCACTCATCAAGCAGTGCTACATACAAAGTAGAGGAAGATCGGCACAGATGTTAGCTCAGGGCTAATCTTCCTCACCAAAAAAAAAAAAAAAGGTTCAATTAGTTATTTAAACAACCTAGATTTAGATTATTTTCAGCATTCTGTAGTTAATATTTGAAGCTGTTAAACATTTGTTGAATACTGAGAAATCTCACCAATTCCAACTAATTGGAGGGGAAGGTAAGGCAGTTTGATAGAATGTTTTCATAGATTTAGGAACTGATTCATAATTAGAAGCACCAGTTATATACCTATACTATATAAAAAAGTCCTTAAAGTTTATACTCAAGGTAATCTGTACAATTAGTACACTGAATAAGCTCTTTCATGTATAGTACAAAGATCTTGAAATCTAAATTAGTAGACATAGAAGTGACAAAGGTTTTACAATGCCAGAATTTGGTACACTCTTCTTTTCCTTTGAATTTGAAATTATATAAGTAAAGCTTAATATTTAAAGATCTTTATCTGATACGTTACATGGTTTGAAGAACTTTCTGTGCTCATGACTGGCTACCTCTTCCTAAGTTATCTGTAGACAAACTAGTTTTCTATTTTTGATAAATAAGATTAAAATGTGACTTATCTCCCTTTGGAATATAATTTAGTCCCTTGAGCTATTAATTAACCATTGGGTTATAATACCAGGAGTAGTGCTTTTTCTTTAATATTTCTCTGAGAGGGAATGTTTTATATAGTTTAACATTTTAGTTTATTATAAGACAGAGAGCATTCAGCCCACTGGGAATCTCTTAAAAAACATGGATCCGGAGATTGTCCTAACATTTTTAATGCATCTTGAATTATCTAGAAAACAAAACTCTGGCAGCAGCTGATACACATTAGTTGTGGTTTATCTCTTACTGATTATATGACTGGAAGGGGGCATCTTTCAGCTAGAAACAAAGGGACCCTTGGAATAAGGAAATATTTGTTGGCTGGGTCTGCACTGAGAGAACAGGAAAGAGGTGTGTCCATATGTTTGTGTGGGCCCTTCCCCACTCTGCCTAAAATTCTCATTTCATGGTGGCTGGAAACGTGAAGCCAAGACCCTGCAGTTTAAATGTTGAGTTTCTGGTTTGAAAGAACCCTGAGTGTTGACCTTCAGTATAGCCAGCCAAGTTATAAAAATCAAGCTATTTGTGATAAGAGCTTTTAGTGTGATTTGCTTTTATATACTTAGTCTTTGTATACATTCCAGGTGCCTAATTGATTTCGTAAATATACATTCCAACATTTGAAGGAACAGACGCCATTATAGGAGAGTTTTGCTGGGGATGAAAGGATGTATCAGCATAGGCAGAAATAGATTTATAAATTGTTCTGGTTTGCCACTTGTATATGTTCCTTCCCTTCTGAATGTTGGTGGTTGGTGACTTCCATTTGTCTGACTGAAAAATCCAATCTGTGACTCTTCTTCACTGGATTGACTATCTGAGAAATTAGTGTGCTAGAAGTTGTAGTATATTCTTTGTGGCTTTAAAAGTGAAGGCATTTTTACTTTAGAAGAGCATGGAAGTGAATTTAAGGTCCTTGGAATTTTTTTTTAATGTGTCACTTTACGTTCTCTAAATCTCTTCATCACTTTTCTATTTCTTAAAGTCTTCTCTTCCTTAAACTAAATAATCCACATCTTAATTCCTTTCTCTGACTTCTTGAATGTGGTAAAACATATGATAATCGACTAAAGTTGCTTTCAGCTTTTTAAAACAATGTCTGTAAGTATGAGTAGACCATGTGGTAACCATGAGGAAACTTTCCCCCACAGACTGTGTGTGTGTCTGTCTGTCTGTCTGTCTGTTCTGAAGGGTCAGATTTGAGGTAGCAGAGTCGTTGCTCTTACTGTGTTCTGAGTAAATAGTATGTTTTTCTGACACCTGCCTGTGGTCACTTGTTAGCCTAGTTTGAGGTTTCTGGCCTCGAATATTTTTTCTAGGGGAGGGTAAGAGATTTGGGGTGAGGGGTTTGGAGAGAAGTAATTCAATCAAAGTTAATAAAAAAAGGCCTCTTCTTGTTTTTATTTTTGTTGTATGTGTCCAGGATTTAGAAGAATTCTGCTTTAAGTTTTGCATCAATCATTTGACAGAAGTTACACAGACTGCAGCATTTTGGCAAATGGATGGCCCTCTGCTAAAGGAATTCATTGCTAAAGCCAGTAAATGTGGAGCCTTTAAGAACTGAAGCCCAAGGCTGCTGGGTTTTGTGTGAGTGCTCGGGGCCGGGTATTGGGTGATGGTGTGTCGTTGGTGCTCTACGGGTGATGCAGTTCTGCAGGTAAACAACCCATCAGGTGGTTTTTTCCCACATCTGAGACACCGTTCTCTGTGTAGGAATATATGTATGAAGGATCTACGGCTTTTCCTGAACCCATTTTAAACAATTCTTGTTTCCAGATATGTCTATTTTAATTGTGACCTTAGGTTGGCTGGAACATTGTACAAGGGTGAGAGTTTAGCTGGTTGTTTTTTTGTTTTTGTATTTGGGTTGAGGAACTGGTGAACTTGGGAAGAGGAAGTCAGTGGCAACTCTCCAGGCTCACATATCAGCAACCTTTTTGACACAAGGAGTTGGGATGGTTTGTGAGTTGTGAGACGAACATGGAGGCCCCAGCATGAATTGAAGATGCTGACTTTGGGGCCTGTTGAAGTGCTGCTTTAGCTGCTGCTTTGATAGCCTTACTGTGAAGGAATAGGTAAGATCGTGAGGCTTTTGTTTGTGTTTGCACTATTGATGACTTTTTTTAATTTCACGGTGTATCAAAATAATATTCAGTTTAATGAGTTAAACCTATTGAAATGATAATTATGTAAAGATAAATTTCTAGGTTAGCCAAGATTTCTCTTAAGACTTAAGCACATAAAGAGTGGTAATTTAGAACTCTCCGTGAAATGTTAATAATGAAAAAAACTTCATTTGGACAATGGTGAATATTTTATAAATTAGAATCTCCACTACTATCCAATTGTGTTTTATTTTATTAAGATAAAATTTGAGAACTCAAGTTTAAATTGCCCCTCCCCCTTTTCCCCTATAAATGCTAATTGTAAGAGGGAAATAATGACATATTCATTATACTCTGGCCTTCCTAAATTATGGCTGCTAAATCAGATCTGCTACATGTGACTCAAAGAAGTGGTTCTTAAACCAGCTATTTTTACAGGACTTAATGGACTTCGTTTTCTCTCTTTTATCTATGCAAAATGCCATCACAAATTTGATTATTTGAAATTTCACCAGCTTTCACTATCGATTTTCCTCTCCTTTTAATTGTGTTAGGTATAATACTTAGCATAATTTAACTTTTTTCAAAGGATCAAATTATGGGGTTTTTTTTGGTCTGGTTATGAAGTGTGACTTTGGGAGGTAGGAATGCTCAACTCTGAGTTTTATCACTTGTGTCCTGTGAGCTTACGTTAAGAACAAAGCTTTGTTCTGCTCTCTGGCCCATGGACTCATTTCCGTTTGTGGGGGCTCCTTAGTGAACTCTGCTTCCTGCTTGGAAGGTCCCCCATCTGAACTTGGAGCTTCAATACATTTCAGAGCCAAATTAACAAGAAGGTGAAGAGACACTGCAGCTCCTGTTTTTAGCAGTGTTTTAAGTGTGTGGTGGGGGGGAGAGGGCGATGAGGGCCCAAAGATAGGAATTCATTGATAGGTGAAATAAATACAAACCTAGAAGTCCCAGCCCCTTTTTCTTGACCATGTCACAAGTGATTGAAGCCCAATGAATTATTAGTTTAGAATTAGTTCTGCAACACGATAGAATTTTTCTTACTAGGTTGATAAATGCACATTAATTTGATTATTAGCTGTGATGGGTAGTGTTTATAACAATGAATGTTCTGTAGGCTTATGATCTGGACAAAACAACTTCAGTAAGTTTACCATTGCTCTTACTTGAAAAAAAAAACTTCAAAAAAAGCACAAATTAAAGTAGTAAATTTCCATAGATCATTCATTCAACAAATATTTACTGAGTTCCTAATATAGGTAAAGAACCACTTTTCATATTAGATTACTGAGTAATTTGAGTATGTATGTAGTAAAGAGAACACAATAAGTCCTTCAAAAAGTACTTATCTTTTTTTTTTAATTCACTCTCTTATTTTTCTACTTGGTTTTGTTGTTAATCATAGCAAAAGATAAAAACTATTCTTTGAATTGCTTTCTTCATGATGTAATAATGAAAGCCAAAGTATTCATATTTCTTAAAATAGCCCTAAATGTACTCTTGAACTTCTTACTGGAACAATGTTTGCTACTCTAGCAGATAGGCTGTATTTATGTAATGTTTAGAATGACATATTAATAAATAAAGTAATCTCTTAAAACAGGCATGAAAAGTTGTTTTTCCCCCTCAAAAATCAGTAATACGCAGCCTTAAAAAGGAAGGAAATTCTGATTTGAGATGAACCTTGAGGACATCATGCTAAATGAAATAAGCCAGACACAAAAGGACAAGTCCTGTATGATTCCACTCATATGAGGTACCTAGAGCAGTCAAACTCATAGAAATGGAAAGTAGAGTGGTGGTTGCCAGGGCCTGTGGGGAGGAGGGAATGGAGAGTTAATGTTTAATGGTCACAGAGTTTCAGCTGGGGAAGATGAAAAGAGTTCTGTGGATGGATGCTGGTGATGGTTGCACAACAATGTGAATGTACTTAATGCCACTGAACTGTACACTTAAACATGGTTAACATGGTAAATTTTATGTGGATTTTGCTACAATTTAAAAAAAAATCGGTACTATGATTCTTAGCAGGTATCAGGCTAAAAACAGATACCACCACAAACATGTCAACTGTTTCTCAGCTACCCCCCCCCCCCCCCCGGGGCCTAGGGCGGGCCTCGGGGGTCCTCAGTGAAGGCCCCCCCCCCCCCCCCCCCTGTTCCCCCCCCCCCCCCCCCCCCCCAGAAATCCTTTGGTTTTACTCCTGCTGAAAGAAAGTACAATTAAACTATCATAACAGAAAAATGTATCTTGATCCTTTGAGGTACTTATAAATGAAGGGAAAGACATAGTCCCTTGTTAGGAGAGAGGAGAGAGGTTTAGGAATTAACAACACAATAACATATTTATAAACAGCTTTTCCTAATAGTCAGTGAGAGAAACCTAACAGAGTTAATATGAGAAGCAGTTGTTCTGAACTTGGTTCAGAAGACTTTTGTGCAGTGCAGGGGAAAACATAAAGTGTCCTTTTAGCTCATTTCCAGAACAACTGGTAAGTGGCACAAGCAAAGACTTAGAGGTGGGGGCTCATGAGCCTTCCAGAGATCACCATAAGCAAGTTAGTTTGGTTAGAATGGAGAAAATAAGCCAGGGCCCATTAGGAGGAGACATCGTCCAGGGGAGAGTGTGTGTGTGTGTGTGTGTGTATGTACACTTATTTCCCACGGTGCCAGGTCTTGTGCCCTGTGCTTCACATTTTCTTTTTTAGTGCCCACATTTTGTACCATAAGGTAGGCAGAGTTAGGCTCAGATAGAGTAAATAATTGGGTTACAGTTTCTCAGTAGTAAGTGACATAGCTAAAGTACAAACCTGGGTCTAACAGTTTGCCCAATATTTGCCTCCTTTGTGACTGCCAAACACATGTTGCTCCATGGTGCCAAATTACCTACTGTGAATGACAGATTAAATATGAAAGCAAAGTGGGAGACAAAGGTTTTCTTTTAAAGATCATGACATCAAAACTATTACTCAGATAAGCTTTCTATAGGAGGTGCTATTGGGAGGAAGCTGAAGTTACAGTAAATATCTATTCCAGGGGAAATCTTTAGTCATTGGATCTGGGATGGAGTCTTGGCTTCTGTAGTTTTTTAAGTGTCTCAGGTGATTCTGATGTGCAGCCAAATTTGAAAATCACTCATTTAGATTCTGTCCCTCAGGTAATGACGACTTAGGCTAGGGTTGCCATTACAACAGGACATGTTCTTTTTTATCTACATCATATTCTTCCTTCAACAGAAATTTTTTGAGTACTTATTACATGCCAGACACCATGCTGGGGACCCAGATCAAACTCATTTTGAAATGCAGCATTATTGTGAATCAGAGTACCATGATAAAAAATTGGAAATATGAATTTGAGGTCTTCAGGGGTCAGACATGGTGGTGGGGCATAAAAATCTTTATGGTATATTGTTAGGTTGAGAAAAGTCTTAACTATCAATTTTTTTTCATTCATGCATATTTCCACGGATCTTATTCAGGGAGTCCAGTTTAAATTTAAACGTTTATTTTGAAGATGATGTATGTGCATGTGGTGACTGTGGCTGGAAGAAATTTAAAAAGCAGACTTTGTGACAAGAACACAGGTAAATTTGGTACAAGTAAAGTAGAATATTCAAATTTATTATATGTAAGAGGCATTATGGGCTGGAACTAGTCTCAAAAGATAAGAAAAGTTAGTGCATTTATTCAGCAAACATTTGTTGAGCGTGCTGGGAATGTAATTGTGAGCAAAACACAGAATAGTGAGTTCCTGCCCTGAGACAGCTTACATTCTAATGGTGTAAGGTAAGGGACAGTGGGTTACACTGGGAAGTGATATGAAGGAAAAGTACTCTCAGATGGAGTAAGTGGGAGAACTGGTGTGATGAGATCTACAGGAGGAGCAGACAGAGAAGGGTTAAAGAGCAGTTAAAACTTCACGGCAGGATGTGCAAAGGCCCCAGGGGTAGGAGCACCTGGTGTGTGACTGGAATCAACTTAGATCCCTGGAGTGTGGGAGAGGTGGGTGGCAGTGCACCAACAGGAAGCCACTGCAGGATTTTCAGTGCAGAAGGTGGGAGAGATGGGAGGCATGATCCAATTGACTCAAGTAGACCTGAGAAACATTTTATTGGAGAGTGGAGGTAGAAGTGAGATGATAAGGGAGGGCAGTAAACACCCAGTCAGGCATGAAATGTCAATCAGCAAGAGGGTAAGAGCTGATGAGGATTGAAGGTTGCAGACCAGAGAGAGATGAGAGGCCAGGTCCTAAAGATGTGTGGCTTTCACAGGCCAGAACTCCAGTTTTGAGCCTGCTTGCAACTATGCCTGACTTCTGGCTTAGGAAATGGCGATCATTAAGAAGACAGAGAAGACACTGAAGTAGAACTTGATCTAAGGTCTCTGTTTTCTTGAAGAGAGCACAAGGTTTGTTTTAAGTCCCGAAGTAGCTCAATCTCTTCCTTCAGCTGCTGCTGCCTTTCTTCAGATTGATGAATTTTATTCTCTATTTCTATAAGAAGAAATAAAATGATTGATTTCAGATTATTCAGTAGTTTTATAAAGAATGTACTATTTCTAGCCCCTTTCACTTGTAAGTACACAATGCTGTGCCCCAAATGAGAACAATCTGGGGTCTCGTGAGCAGGAACTGGCTCTTTTATGCCTTTGCTTCCTCTTCTAATTCAGGATAGAATTCTAGCACTTTTCACACATAAAGCTGATCAGTAAATCTTTAAGATTTTGTATACATTCATAGCAGAACCACCTGTTGTATATCTTTGAGAACTCGAAAGCAGCGACTGTAGAACCTTCATGCTGCACTATATCCATTTGTGGAGAGATGATAATTGGAGAGCGCATGTGGTTAGAACATGAAGGAGAGGGGCAAATCTTCCATAAAAATGAATCCAATTTTTAATGTTACATAGAAGCTTTTGATTTTATTTAGAAATAGGAAGGCTTTTATTGTGGAAACTTAGGAAGAAGATACTTTAGTTAGGCTTTATAAATAACAATATTACTCAGTGGCCATGTCATTTTTTTTTTTTTTTGGAGGGGATCAGCCCTATGCTAACACCTGCCAATCCTCCTCTTTTTTTGCTGAGGAAGACTGGCCCTGGGCTAACATCCATGTCCATCTTCCTCCACTTTATAGGGGATGCCGCCACAGCATGGCCTGCCAAGCAGTGCGTCGGTGCATGCCCGTGATCCGAACCGGCGAACCCTGGGCCGCCGCAGTGGAGTGTGCACACCCAACTGCTTGCGCCACCAGGCTGGCCTCGGCAATGTCATTTTTTTAAAAAAACCTCATAATTGAAAAATGTTAAAACACACATAGATAATCTTTCTTTAGAATACCTATGTACCTGTAGTTAAATTTCTGGAACATTAGAAAGGCTAAATTAAGCAAGAGAGTCTTTATCAGTTGGGGTTTCAAAAGTTAAGCCTTTTATGTTGGTTCTCATGCAATTCCAAATAGTGTCCCCTCCTGGTGCCCCTACACCCCCCAAACACTACACTGTAGTGTTTATACTCCCAACTAACCCACCCAAGCAGTGACATGTGACATGTTCCAGACATGTAACTTTTATATGAAAGAAAAATAAACACAGATGCAAGTCCCCTACAAAATAAAGCTTTCTAGAAAAAGATTTTAAAGACTGCTTGTTAAAAAAATATGGATATCTCAATTAGCAGTATGCAGACCTTCTCAAGAGACTTTAAAAGATATATGATTTTTGGTAGATTTAAAAAAATATTTTCTGCTGATTATAAACATAATACAAAATTCACATAGAAATGTGTAATATAAAAACAAAAATGAGAAAGGCTTGTATCTATTGAGACAGGGATATGAACTAATATTTTCTCCACAAATTGTCCTAATACTATTTGCTGGTTAGACAAATACATGTATAGGAAAGAATAGAGTGTAGGGTACTGTGTTTGTGTGACTTCAGGGGGAGCCATCTGCACCAAATTCTGTGTGAATCTGTGCCCCCCAACTCCTGCTGGGATGTGCAGTGCCCAGCTGCCCAGCTGTGAGGGGCAGCCTTGATGGAGAAGTCAGATCAGACACATAAATAAGTGGAAATTTAGCCTGTTTTGAAGGCATCTTAAACAATGGTGAAAGGACCTACTCAATAAATGGTTGATATTTTATAGAAAGATTAAGTTTCTGCCCCTACCAGGTTTTCTTCTTTTTCAAAAATTTCTTGGCTATTCTTCCTCATTTTTTTTTTCCAATGAACTTTAGAATCAGTCAGTCACAACCCTCCCCACACCACTAGATTTGAAGATGAATGTTGGAGAATTTAAACTTGTATACATCATACCTTGTGAGAGGGTTACCACAGCCTCGCCACCTCAGAGCAGAGGCTGCAGGAAGCCTCACCAGTTCCTGCTGATTCCCAAACATGATGCCCAAATAATCTCCCATTTTGCAATCAAGTTTTTGTTGTTTTTTTTTTTTTTTGCTGAAGAAGATCTTTAGCCCTGAGCTAACATCTGTTGCTGATCGTCCTCATTTTTTTTTTCTTGAGGAAGAGTAGTCCTGAGCTAACATCTGTGCCAGTCTTCCTCTATTTTGTGTGTGGGACGCTGCCACAGCATGGCTGACGAGTGGTGTAGGTCTGCGCCAGGGACCCAAACCCGTGAACCCACACCACCAAAGCAGAATGTGCCGAACTTAACCACTACACTATGCGGCCAGCCCCTCTACTTTTTCAAATGAGTTTTTTCTGATTATGGAAGTATTGTGTGTATGCAGAAACGTGGAAAATACAATGCAGCACTAAAGACAAAAGAAATCACTATAATCCAGCCACCTACAGATTACTGTTTCCATTTTTTCTGTGTGCATGTGTGCCTCTCTGAATTTATGTATTTTTTTTTTCTGTGTGTGAGGGGATCATTGTTTTGTAATGAGCTTTTTCATTTAATAAAACAATGACCATTGTTCTAAAATATGATTTTTATCACTTGAATAGTATTATATTATTTCAACATATATGATAAATATTTATAGACTTTGCTGCTCAGTTATAACTCGTATACCTGCTTGAAAATTCACGAATATATCGTCAAACAATCTGCAGTCGAGAAGTGAAGTTCCAATTTCTTCATAGTCTGGAGGGAAAAGAACATTTTCAGTTTTAATTTAAATAATTTATATAGGCAGAAACAGCTCACAAAATAACCCAAAATAGGGAAGAGTAAACAGAGCTCCACTCCTGCTTCTAGAATGTCAGTGTTAGACTGCAGTAGCAGCAGCATCACCTGGGAGCTTGTCAGAAATGCAGGTTCTTAGCACCTCTGCTGAATCAGAACCTCCAGGGGCGAGGCCCAACTATCTGTTTTAACAAGCCCTCTAGGTGACTCTGAGGGGCATGTTTCAGTTTGAGAAGTGCTTGGTCTAGAGAAAAGAATAAATGAATAAAAGAATATAATGGGGCCAGCCCCGTGGCTTAGCGGTTAAGTGCGCGCGCGCTGCTACTGGCGGCCCGGGTTCGGATCCCGGGTGCGCACCGACGCACCGCTTCTCCGGCCATGCTGAGGACGCGTCCCACATACAGCAACTAGAAGGATGTGCAACTATGACACAAAACTATCTACTGGGGCTTTGGGGGAAAAAAAGGAGGAAGATTGGCAATGGATGTTAGCTCAGAGCCAGTCTTCCTCAGCAAAAAGGAAGAGGATTAGCATGGATGTTAGCTCAGGGCTGATCTTCCTCACACACACAAAAAAAATAAATAATGAATGAGCTTTTGGAAATGTTTGCTCTTAATTGCACTTTTTGGTTTTGTCCTATAGAAAATAATCCCTTTCAAATAATCCTATATTTTACATTGTTGCCTAAAATATAGACAGTCAAGCTTTTCCTTTTAAGATAGCTATGTTTATAATAAAGTTTTTAAGCTCATAATATAGGTTATAAGAAGGCGAAGTGGCTATCTACCTGCATGTACAAATGGAACTTTGGCTTCCCAAAGAGCTCTTTATGAAAGGTCATATTTAACTAAACCAAACATCAATAAAAACATTAAAATTACTTTTTTCTTCTATACTTTACAATACAGAAAAAGACAGTTGGTTTATTAAGGAATAGAAATTGAGTCAAATCAAAACTAACATAAGGCCATTCTCAGATCTTAGCAACAAGTGTGTCAGCAGTGGGGGGGGTGGGTGTGTGACTGAAGCTGGCTCTGAGCGTGCCTGTTCTCTTGGTCACTCTCAGTTATGCACCTCTGGAAAATACATCAAAACTTTAAGGGCATCAGGGTGTTTTTTACTAAATTACTGAGTTTGTCAATTACCCACAACCTGTTGATCTATAAAAGACAAGAGATCTGGAACAATGAATTTTATTAAAGAATGAGATAAAGAGGAAAAGAAAAAAGAAATAGCATGGAAGGAAAATGTGTAGTACTTTTTTGTTTTGTTTTGTTTTGTTTTATTTTGTTTTACATGTAAGTCTGGGAGAAGTCTCTATATGTAGAAATTTTGCTATTTCAGTACCTGATTCTGAAGTAGTCTTATCCATGAGTCTTTGCTGAATCAAATGAAGTTTGTCTAATATTTCTTCAAATAAATCATTAAGAAGCCCCGCTTCCTTACATTTCTTAAGAAAAGCAACTTTCACAATTGCATCTAAGAAGAAGAAGAAGATTTTAGAAGGAAATGGTCTGTCTTAGGGCAGCTATCATAAACCACTTTATGGTCACTTCTTCAGACCTTGCTAGTGGTGGATGAGCACTGTTAGTAAGATCATACAGACAGCACCTTTGTCTTTTCTATTAATTGTAATTTCATCATACCTCATTTTTTCTAGCTGAAACAATGAATGAAATGTTATAAAAAGTGAAAATAAAAACTTCTCTGCTTAGAATAATTATATGAACCAACAGGATTTTCTAAAATTTAGCTTCAAATCTTTGAGATGACAGCCTCCGTCATTTTTTCTGTCACAGTTACTGTGTGTCATTATAGAATATCTATTTCCTTAAAGAAGAGAAAGCTACAATTACTGGCTTCAGCTTCCTGGGGGCTCACGGTGTGAGGGGTGGCTCATCCCTGGATTCTGAGCTCAGGCAACCCTGGCTTCTATACCAAGAAGTGGATCCTTTCTTAATACTGAAGAGTGATGGACCATCCCAACCTAAGTTATTTTGATCTGCTGGAGTTATGATAGAATGGATAGTTACGATAAAAGATTTCTACTCTTATAATTAATTACGTAAATCTAGAAGAATAAAGTGGAATACCAACTTTGAAACACACAGGTCATCATTTTTGTAAGTACTGTAGATTATATTTGTTACAGACAAAACTTATAGCAAACCTGTGTGTCTGTCATCTTCATGCATTTGTTTTATGCCTCTATTGAATGCCGCTGCTTCAGGTGACTAGAAGGAGAGAAAAATCAAGATTACTTTACACTGATTTTATTGTGGGCATTTAACATTTCATAAAATGAAAACCAATCTTTTGTTGTGCATAATTCAATGATATGCCTTTGGTGAAAATCATGCGCCACGTTCATCTATAAACATCAAACGTATTTTTGTTTTGTATAACAAAAACATCAAGAGGTGTGACAAGCATCCTCCTGTATAATCAGCAAGAGGTAAAGGTTGCTGGCTCCTATTAATTTAGTTTATATGAGCTGATGTGTAAAAGAACTGTTTCAAAGCCCCAAAACATTTTCATACACTTTACACATAATAATCCTGAAAATTATAAGAGTTACAAATTAGGTCAAGTGCGGATCATGCAGCTGGGAAATACTTGGCTACGTAAGGATGCTTGACTGCACCTCTGCTCATTTTAAGACCATCAACACCCTCTGAGCTCAGATCCTCTCACTACATCATGCACCTCATAACGATGTTTCGGTCAATCACGAACCACATATATGATAGTGGTCCCATAAGATTAGTACCATATAGCCTAGGTGTGTGGTAGGCTATACTATCTAGGTTTGTGTAAGTACACTCTAAGATGTTTGCAAAACGACAAAATCTCCTAACGATGATTTTTCAGAACGTATCCCTGTCATTAAGCGACATATGACTGTGATTTGGTATGAAGGGATGCGCTACAGGAGCCGTGGGGCTGTCACCTCCTGAGGGTTATGTGCTTGGATACCGAAGACACATCCAACTTCTCTTTAATACTCATCTCATTATGGTTCTATCATCATTTTACCTGAAATTCAGAACGCTTAAAATAAGGACTTTGGACAAAGAAACTTAAAGCTATAATAAAATTAAGTCAAATTACCTGTACCTGAATGTCTGCTGAGAGACGTTTCTTCCTTCTTCTTTTTCTTTTCACTCCTGAAAAATCAGCTGAAAATAGAGAAACCAGAATCCATAAAGGAAAAGATTGATGCTTGACTACATAAAATATAAAACTCTCGCATGCCAAAAGTTATTACAAAGTCAAAAGATACGGCAAATTTAGACTAAATGTTTGCAACATATATGATAAAAGGCCAATTTTTTAAATATAAAAAGATCTTATAAATCAACATGAAAAAGACAATTGAGTAGAAAAATGGGCTAACGGGGAACCCTCTGCAACGAGGGTTCATTAAATAGAAAAACAAACAGATTGGGTCACAGGAAAACAAATATAATTGACTGAAAGAAAGGGTAATACACTCAATTTCACTCATGAGATATGAAAAGTAAAACAATTTTTCACACATCAGATTGACAAAGATGAAGATGTTTAATATATAATTTTGCAAAGATTTGGGTCACTGTGTACTGCTGGTGTGGCCTCTTTGGAAGATAATTAGCCAATAGTTATCCAAGTTTTCCTTGTTTATACTCGTTGACCGAGCAATCTATATATAGGAATTTTTCCTTATAGTATAGTTGCATAAAGGTACAAAGATGAATGGAGAAGAACGTTACCTACAGTATTAAATGTGACAGAAAAAAATGGAAATAACCTAAATGTCTATCATGCAGAGACTAGTTAAACTGTGGTTCAGTTATACAATTGAATAATATACACAATGGAATATCACATAACATTTTACAAATGAGGTAGATCCACTTGTGCTGATATGGAAGGATCTCTAAGATATATTAAGTGAAAAAAAGCAAAATATAGTGGTAGGTATGTTCGAGTACACAGAAAATTTTTGGAAGAATTCAAAAGAAACCGATGGTTTCTTCTGGGGAGAGGATTCATTACAGGCAATGTTATAATCTGCTTTTTAAAATTAATATGTTATTGTCATCTTTCCCTGTCAGTAAACACTGACTGACAGCAATATTTTTTATAGTATTTCCTGATGAGTTAAAAGGGTAATGACTGAAAAATGAGAGTAACGATATTGTTTAGAGAGTGTTGTTTACCACCACAAAGTGCAGTTGGCATGATACAGAACTAAGCCATGGGGCCGGCCCCGTGGCGTAGCAGTTAAGTGCTCGCGCTCCGCTGCTGGCGGCCAGGTTCGGATCCTGGGTGTGCACCAACGCACCACTTGTCAGGCCATGCTGTGGCAGCGTCCCAGATAAAGTGGAGGAAGATGGGCACGGATGTTAGCTCAGGGCCAGTATTCCTCAGCAAAAAGAGGAGGATTGGCATGGATGTTAGCTCAGGGCTGATCTTCCTCACAAAAAAAAAAAAAAAAAAAAACTAAGCCTTTTCCAAAGAGATCCTGACTCCAGTCCAGATATAGTGCTGGTGAGACTCTGCTGTTCAGGCAGCGCTCAGAGGCTGTTCATTCATGAATGAATGTACATCTCATAACGCCAGTTAGCCAAGATCCAATTTTCTTAATTAGAACTGAAATGCTAACCATGCCTTCTTAGGAAAAGTTCATTCAGGGAATGTGCAGCATTTTATCAATTTTATCTACTGAAAATTCTAACATTCTTTTAGAAAAGAAGCAGTCACAAAAGTCAAAGCTTTTTTTACCATGTCTCTGTTGGGTCCCCTGATTGTCATGAGAATGGAAGACATCACGCAAAAGTGTTTCTGAGAGTAGATCTAGTTCAAAAAGTAGAAAAGTTAGTTCATTATACTGCACACTGCACAAAGAAACTGACAAGTTAATTTTATAAGTCTGTAAAATTTTAAATCAAAAGTTTGTATTTTAATTCAGTAAGGCTAGTAAATCAGACTATTCCATGTCTTACCTAAATGTTTACCTGTCTTTAAAGCCACAATACTAAATTTTAGACACTTACCATTTTGAGTGATCCATGGAGCATGTTGTTGGCAAAAAACTCTGAAAACATGCAATTAAAAAAAAACTGTTAAATATTTTTATTTACACTTTTCAAATATCATGCCTATTTTCTTGTGATTTAAAAAGGAACTAACCGGGGCCGGCCCCATGGCTTAGCGGTTAAGTGTGCGTGCTCCACTACTGGCGGCCCGGGTTCGGATCCTGGGCGCGCACCAACGCACTGCTTCTCTGGCCATGCTGTGGCGGCGTCCCACATACAGCAACTAGAAGGATGTGCAACTATGACGTACAACTATCTACTAGGGCTTTGGGGAGAAAAAGGAGGAGGATTGGCAATAGATGTTAGCTCAGGGCTGATCTTCCTCACAATAAATAAATAAATAAATAAAAAGGAACTAACCTATTTTTCCTGAAGGCTTCACCTTAAATATTTATTTGTTAAAGAAAAATGCTGTTGAGACCTGTGTCAGTTACTGAGCCACATCAAGTGCACATGGAGCCTCTGTGCTCTCAGACCTCGGCAAGGTCAGTATGCTCTCTGAAGGAGTGAGTGCTGACAAAAGATTCTGAACAATACTAACTCATATATAGTGGTCAGTGGGATTTTACTGTATAAAGATACCTAAAGATCCAACATCTAAGACATAAATTTTCATCTGACTACACAAGGTTCTGCTGATTTTCAACAATAAATAGCACAAAATTGCATGCATTAATTGGGGGAAAGTAGTTTTCTAACTCAACAAGCATCTCCCCCAGATCTTAGATTTGAACTTCATGAACCTGGAATTGATCAATAGCCTAGAAGAGAAGAAAGGAGCATAACAGGCTACAACAAAAAAATGGAGTGACTGAATTTTAAGGAGCTGCTCAGGCCCCATTTTCTTTCCAGCCTTTCTTCCTCCTCAGCCCCCAGCTACGTTTCCCTTCCTTTCCTTATGGTGCTGACCTCCAGGATGCAGGGTCACCCTCGCCTAGGGGAATGTATGAATTCTTCCTGTCTTACGCCAAGCTCCACCTCCTCCATACAGTCTTCCTAGCAACCCCACCCTCTCCCCCAATCAAAATTATATTTCCTCACCCTTTGGATTCTGGTATCTCTGAGCACTTTCATTTGCCAGGTACTTAAATTTTTTTTTTATTATGGAAAATTTCAAACATATATAAAAGTGAGCAGGAGGAGATATGAGCAGGAGGAGGTATGATGAACCCCCATGCTTCAACAGTTTCAACAATTATCAACTCAAGGCCAAGCTGGTCTCATTTAAGTCTCCTCCTGCTCCCGTCAAGCCATGTGCTTCTATTAGCTTTGACTTTTCTGGTCCTCCCACGAGGTGATAACGTCTCTGAGGTTTAGTCTACATCTTGTTCCTCTTTATATCCTCACTGCAACTGGCAAGGTGTCTAGTGTATGATAGGCACTCTGAATGTTTAAATTCAATTTAAAAATGCATAAAGGTGCACCTGATATTTGATAAAACAATGACAAAAATGACTTTTTTATTGAGTCTCTATTCACTGGTTCTACTAATGTGTGATCAGTGTTTTTTCAAACTTTAAGATACAGCAGCAACTCAACCCCTTTTTGTTTGATATTGTAGCTCTGCTAATAATAGTCTTTCTAGTGGGTGTTTAAGGTCATTGTAGAAGTCATAATAAAAGGAGCTCTTTGGGAAGGTAAATAATAAAAGTGAAACTGAGAATATTACAATTCATCAGAAGGAAGATCAAGTTTCTTCCTGGATAAAACAAACATAATTCTATTGGACTTGAAATATGCTTTAGTGGGTCAAAATTAACATTAAAGAATTACTGAGGGCCGGCCCCGTGGCTTAGCGGTTAAGTCCATGCACTCCGCTGCTGGCGGCCTGGGTTCGGATCCCGGGCGCGCACCAACGCACCGCTTCTCCGGCCATGCTGAGGCCGCGTCCCACATATAGCAACTAGAAGGATGTGCAGCTATGACATACAACTATCTACTGGGGCTTGGGGGAAAAAATAAATAAATAAAATTATTAAAAAAAAAATTACTGAAAGAAATGAAGCAGGATTTAAAAGCCAAAGGCAATACAAACAGGATAAGTTTCTTCAAGGATTTAATGACTGATTACTGGATTTGCTGCATAGTTTATCATTTTTAGCAGCTATTTATAGGTAAGATGGTGGGGAAATACATTCATTCATCAGTCAAGATGGATAAACCATGGGCCTGTGGCTGACAAGTAAGGCTCCTTTCCTGTTTGCAGAAAAGAGCAAGTGTGAAGTGGTTCTCAGTCTCGTGGCCACCCATTAGGTCACTCATGCCACTATGACAACCAATGCTTTCTACTAGGAAAGAAAAGATGTAGGAAGATTAAAAGCAAAACCAAAATCAACCCTGCTTATTTTCTTCCCCATGACATTTGGGGAAGGTGTTGTGAAGTTAGGTTCCCAACTAGGCATCCCCCAAACCACGTTCTTACTTGGAAACTATTTGCATAAAATTAGCTTAAAAAATCTCCTTGTCTTAATCTAACCTTTCCTTATTTCAATTCCCCAAATGTGGCTTTAAAATGTTTTATTAAATACTTATAAATTCCTTGAGATCCATCAGTTTGCAGAACTGCGTTGTCATTCTTGGCACAGAAAAAGTGGTAACTCTTGGAACAGGCTTTTACATCACATCCCACGGTGGCTCCTTTTTCACCGCAAAATTTGCATTTCTATAGAAGAATAGAGTTTACTGAGTAAGCATCTCTTTTTCATAATCTTTGCTAAAATTCAAAGTTAAAGATGTCATTAAATGTTATTTTTTAAAGTCAGCAGCCCTGATGTCCTCAGCTACAAACATTAGGTACTAACATTTGGCAGCTCATTTTGAGACTTCAGCAAAACCTCAGCTAACTAGAATACTTGGCACAGACTGTTTTGTCATGATCTGATTAAAAGCAGAAAACCCTTTTTGTTTCCAAAAAACCCTATCTCTTTCTCTCTTTTAAAAAGAGATTTCTAAAAAGCAGGTTGGCAAAATCGTCCAGCTCCAGGCAAGGGGTCCTATTAGGGACATTGAGTCTGTGGCAAGGGCAGCTCCTGGCTGTGCCATGAAGAGCTGTGTGATCTCCAGCCAGTCACTTCCACTCTCTGAGACCCAGATTCCTCCCTGCGGATAACAGCGCCTGTCTTTACAGAGTTACTACTGAGGACAAGGCGCGATAAAGTCAGTGAAACCTCTTGGGAGTCTATGTACTAGGGTCAAAAATTAAAAATTAACAAAACCCCAAACACTGAGTAGTAAGTGTTTTCTTAGTTCAATTTATTTGATTTCTTGCTTTTATGTATTAGTCTATCTATCTGGTATGTTATATGAGAAGGTACTGTAGAGATGGCTAGGGAGACAGTGTGCAGCCACAGAAACGGAGCTGGTTTAGGGGAATCCGAGCCATGAGCAAGGCTGATTTACATCACACTCTTGCTGAATGAAGTGGGGGCACAATGACACCACCTTGCAAAGCATGAGACAGCTCACACACTATCCCCAGGTTAGCACAAGCAACCATATAAATAGATAAAGAAAATTCAGTTATGGGTGAGAAATTAGATTACGCTAAAGGTGGAATTTCAAATCAGAGCACAAAGAATGATCATTTAATTTGGGGGGAGCCATGTTGCTATATGTGTAGAAAAAAAATAAAGTTAGATCTCTACCTCACAACAGGAAGCTTTCTAAGCAAGGCAGGAAACCCAGAAGCTGCAAAGATAAAGATTGACATATCTGACTATAGTAGTCCCCCCTTAGCTATGGTTTCATTTTACATGGTTTCAATTGCCTGCGGTCAACCACGGTCCAAAAATATTAAACAGAAAATTGCAGAAATAAACAGTAAGTCAACAGTAGTGGATAAGGTACCTGCCTACATGAAGTTATAGTGGAGAGAGACAGACAGGGACCAAATAAAGCAAACCTAAAGACATAGTGATACATGCTTCGCAGAGAATTAAAATAAAGCGAAGTGACAGTGGTCACTGGGTCCCTACTTCCGAATGGGTACAAGTAAAGGCCTAAGGAGGTGATATAGAATGTTAGATTTGAATAATAATAAGAGCTCCTAGCACCCAGCAAAGCAGGGAGAGGACATTCTAAGCAGAAGGCCTTATGTTCTTGTGGCAAGAACGAGCTTTCCTGTTGGCAAGCTTACCAGAAGGACAAGAGGGACAGGCTAGTGTTGTTGGTTAGAGGTGAGGGCAAGGGGGAGAGTCTGAGATAAGATCCAAGGGGTGAGTAAGGCTGGGTCACGTAGGGCTTACAGAGTAAGGAGTTGGGGTTTAATCTTCATGAAAGGGGAGCATAAACTGTTAATATTTTTAAGACACTATTCTGACTGCTGTGTGGAGAATGGGCTGGGGTACGGATGGGCAGGAGAGAGCAGGACTGGTATTAGCAGTGTTCAGCAACCATCCAAGAGAGTGAGATCAGTGACTTCATAATGTTGGATCAGTGATACAGAGAGAAGTGGAGGATGCAAGGGCTGTATGGTGACGCTGATGGGCTCTGATGGGCTCGATACTGGCCGGGAGGTCAATGAGGAATGATGATGGACAAATGATGTGCTGTTTACTGAAGTGAAGAGTGAACAAGTTTGTTTGGAGAGTGTGTATGTGTGTGTAGAGGATGGAACTGTGGTCTGTTTTGGCCAGTTTAACATGAGATGCTATTAGATATCCATGTAGATATGTCAGTTTGGTTGTTGGGGCTGGAGATAGAGTCCCCGGCATAAGTGTGGTATGGAAGCCATGGGAACTGGATGAGGTCACATAGGAAAGATGTTCAGTTTGAGGAAGGAACCCAGGACAGAGCTTTGGGCACTCCAAGCTTTAGAGGTTGAGCAGAGGAAGAAAAACAATCAAGGTGCCTGGGAAGAAGCAGCCAGAAAGGTAAAAGACATACTAGCAGAGTGTGTCCAGGAAGTCAAAAGAAGAAAGTCCTTCAAATGCAGGGCACAGACAAGTGTGTGATGAATACTGCTGAAAAGTCAACTAAAGGACAGAGAAGTGACATTGTAATTGACCGATTTCTTGTGTATAAGGGAGCATTTCTTTTTTAAGATGACCTGATCAGTTGACCATGTTTATATGCTGAATGGAATAATCTAGTAGGAAGGGCGATACTGACATGAAGGGGGTAGTGGGAAGTGCAAGAGCCTGGTCCGTAAGGAGGGGAGGAAGGGGCTCCAAAGCCCAAGAGGAGGGTTGGCTTTGACAGGAGGGAGGTCTGAGAGTCTGGGGACAGAGGTGGGTGGGCAGTGGTTTGGATAGTGGAAATTCCTGTCTAATGGCTTCCATGTTCTCAGTGAAAATCACGTAAAGAAATGTACAACACCAAGACTGAACCCTAACGTAAACTCTGAACTTTGGGTGATTATGTGTCAGTGTAGGTTCATCAGTTGTAACAAATGCACCACTCTGGTGAGGGAGGTTGATAAAGGAGAAGCTGCGCTTGTGTGGGGGCAGGGGGCATATGGGAAGTCTCTGTACCTTCTCTTCAATTTTTCTGTGAACCTAAAACTGCTCTAAAAAAGAAAGTCTATCAAAAAAAAAATCAGCAGTAGTCATCAACTCGGAGATGAGAAGTTGGGGTGGGGAGAGGTTTTGAAGAGAGATGAGAGGATGTGAAACAGTAAATGTGGAGGATGAAGGGTGAAGTGTTGAAGGTCTGTTTGAGGTTTGTGGCCATGAATCTAAGATCAGTCAACGTATCTGTGGGTTTTTCTCCAGCTGCGCCTGCTCAAGTGCTGGTGCTACTTGGCATATGCCAACAACAGGCAGATGCATTTCACCAAGGCTGGGGCTTTGCTAGGTGAGTAAGGAAGTGGTCTGTGGGGGGGTGGGGGTACAGGATGTTTGCAAGAGAGTGACTGCAATGCTGGACCATGGCTATGAGGTGGGGCCGCTGACAGTAAAGGGATCCTTGAAGAACTGCTCAGCTGAGTGAGCTGGGAGGATGGAAGATGCCTGAAGAGAAATCATGCTCAACCTCTCCAGTAATCAGGGAAATAAATGCAAGGTTACCCCTTTCTGTCAGACTGGCAAAAATTAACAAGATTTACGATGTTCGCTTTTGTGAAGGGCTGGGAAAAGTGCTCTTTCATCCACCACGTACAGAAGTATAAAGTGATACACCCTTTGCAGGCAACAGTTTGTCAGCATGTTTCAAACTTTTTAAAAGGGAATGCTCTTTGACTCAGCCATTCTACTTCTAGGAGTGTGCTCTATCTACAGCAACACTCAAACAAATACTCAAGGATAATGTGCAAAGATTAGTTGTTATAGTGAAAACCCAGAGGCAACCCATTATCTAACAACAAGGGAAGGGTTTCATGCCTTCTAGTACATCCTATGGAATTCCATGAAGTGAGTAGAGAGAGACTCTCACGGAGAGTCATATGCTTACAGTTTTATGAATGTGCCATGTCTTTCTTGCCTTCCACACTTTTGCACATCCTGTTCCCTCTCTCCGGAATTTCCCCCTTCCCCATCTTCATTTTCACCCCCCTCCCCAACTAGGAAGGCTTCCTGATCCCCAACTGCATTGAGGCGCCTGTTGCAGAGCACCCAGTGCTGACCCCTCTCAAAGCACATCAGGCTGTGTGGAAACTGTCCATGTATGCTCACACCTTGCAAGGACTAAATAAACGTTTGTTCCAGATCATTAATCTTATTGTGGTAAGGGCATCAGGTGCTCACACTTGCTATACTGCTTGTTAAGCTGTGAAGGGCCTTTCGTAGAGGAAGTCTACTGTAATGGACCCAGTAGGGTAACTGCTCAGTGTTCTTCTTCCTGAGGGGAGCTGACCCCAGCTCCAAGGGTAGATCTGATTAGTTATGCTCACCTCTAGCAACTGTGCAGGAAGAGGCAAGCGGCCTAATTAAACTTCCAGAAGGGCTCTTATTCCACGCTTGGGGATGAACTTTCTCTTTCACTAGACAGGAACAAGAAAGCCTGACTCATCAGTTGCTGCCTGTGGCCTCCTATAACCACAAAGGGACCAGCCGATGTTGTGGACAGAAGGGCAGAAAGGATGAAGGGCCTTTGATAACATAATTGAGCCAATGAATCAACCAACCTTGAAGCCAGTTCTTCCTCTGGCTAAGTGAGAAAATAAGCATCCTTTTTGTTAAAGCCAGTTTGAGTTGGGGTTCCTTCTATTTACCAAAGAAGGAAATAGCCAAAGGCATTCTAATTCATATTTACTTTGCTGATGAAATATGTTGTAGTTTATTTTAAAATATTAAATGTTCAGTCAAATCTAAGTTTCCAGTACAGGTCCTACTTCTTTCAGCTCTCCAAGATGCATCTCCATCCCTGGTTTATCAATCAAATAGTCTTCCTTTTGAAGGCACCCCCCGAGGGTCTGTTCATCCTATATGAGGAATAAAATCATTTATACTTACTAATTTGCTTCCTCTCTTGATTTCTTTCTTTACTGATTTCACATCAAAATTTCTATCGTTATTACGTGGATCATGATCCTCACATTCTACAAGTGCTGAAGAATACAGCTGCAGATTGGGAAAAGAAAAAATCCAGAGTATGCACAAAGTAATGTTGAAAGCTACAAGTCAGAAAATGGTACCAAAAAGCACTCACTAGGAGTGGAAGATGGACTAGGGGTAGAACAGTGACCACCTTTTGGGGTGTGTGAGCAGATCACAAGCTCTCTTGCTTTTCTTTGGGAGTGGCCCTGATCCCAGGCATGTTTCAGACTGCCCAACCCTGACCCCTAGTGGCTAACTGGACCTGGTTGGGGCCCTGACCCCAACCTAGGCCAATCAGATTCCCTATCCTAGGAGAGGGGAATAGGCTCTGAGCCACATGGTCAGAGCAAGCCAGTCTGCAAAGAGAGTAAAACAAAAACAAGGACTAGAGAGGACATCCTGGGTTCCTGACATCTTTCAAGTTTCTGTTTCTTGGACCTGCCTGCATGCCTGCCTTCAGGAGATGTGAAATGCCTCTGCAGCCTTATTACAAAGCTCATTTATGTTTAGGTCAGCTCAAGGTTCTGTGTGTTACTGGAAACCAAAAGAATCCAATCTACCTCTGAATTGAAGATCAACATTATACATATACTCAAATAACAAAGGACATGAAAAACATAGGAGAAAGTTTTTGTGACACTGGCATAGGCAAAGATTTCTTTCTTTTTTTTTTTTTTTTTTTAAAGATTTTATTTATTTATTTTTCCCCCAAAGCCCCAGTACATAGTTGTCTGTCATAGCTGCACATCCTTCTAGTTGCTGTATGTGGGATGCGGCCTCAGCATGGCTGGAGGAGTGGTGCCTCGGTGCGCACCCGGGATCCGAACCCGGGCCGCCGGCAGCGGAGAGCACGCACTTAACCGCTAAGCCACGGGGCCGGCCCCAAAGATTTCTTATAAAAAGCAGAAACTATAAAGAAAAAGTTAATAAGCTGGACTTCATCAAAATTAAAACTTTTTGCTCTTTGAAGGACATTGCTAAGTAAATAAAAAGACAAGCAAGAGACTGGGAGAAAACATTTGCAATATGGATATCTGACAAAAAACTTGTATCCAGAATATAGGAAAAACTCTTACAACTCAATAATATGACAAAAATTCAATTAAAAATAGGGAAAAAATTTGAACAGACACTACACTGAAGGAGAGTTATAAATGGCGAATAAGCGTGTGAAAAGATATTCAACATCATTAACCCTCAGGCAAATTGAAACCACAATGAGTTACCAAATATATACTCACTAGAATGGCTAAAATTAAAAAGACTGAAAATACCAACTGTCAGTGAGGATGTGGGGCAAATGAAACTCTTACACCTTGCTGGTAGAAGTGTAAAATGATGCAATCAATTTTAAAGTTAAATATGTACTTACTTTATGACCCAGCATTCCTCTTCTAGGTATTCACCCAAGAGAAATAAAGGCATATGTCCACACAAAGTCTCATATACAGACATTCATAGCAGATTTATCCTAATATCCCCAAACTGGAAATAATACACGTCTATCAACAGGTAAATGGATAACCAAATTGTGATATGTCCATACAATGGAATACTATGCAGAAATAAAAAGGAATGAAATATAGATACATGCAACAACACGGAAGAATCTCCAAATACTGTGCTGAGCTAAAGAAGCTACACACAAAAGACCACATACTGTAGGATTCCTTTCATATGAGATTCGAGAAAAGACAAGATCAATCTACAGGGATTGACGGTGGGGAGGGAGCAATTGCAAGGAGGCACAAAGGAACCTGCTGGGGTAATGGAAATATTCTATATCTTGATGATGGTTGTGGTTACATAGGTAAATAAATGCCTTAAAACCTCCAAACTGCACACTTAACATGGGTGCATTTTGTTTTATGTAAATTATACCAATCAATTTAACTAAAAATAGTAGCAAATTAACATTAACAGTATATTAGAATAAATCATGATCACCTGGTGTTAATCTCAGAATGGTTTAACAGCAGAAAATAACATATTACTAACAGATTAAAAGGAGAAAATTTGAGACATGAAAACCAAATGCAACTGTGAACTGGAATCCTTTGTTATAAAGAAAGTTACTAGGACAGTAGGTGAAACCTGAGTGGTTTGAAGATTAGGTGGTAGTAATATATTAATGTTAATTTCCTGATTTTGATGGTTATATTGTGATTATGTGAGAGAACATTCTTGTTTGTGGGAACGACATACTAAAGTATTTGGAAAGATAACACATCATGTCTCAATTTAATTTCAAAGGGTTCCAACAGCAAAAAAAAGTTCTTTGTACTGTATGTGCAGCTTTTCAGTAAGTTTGAAGTTTTAAAAAAACATCAAATTGTGTACATAAGAAAATAAAATAAAGTATCCATTATTGTGCATGGCCAGGGAAAGAGAGGGAAAGAACCTAGAAGATCATTACAATAAATGCAGAAAAAAATCATTTCATAAATTCAATACTCTAACTTTTAGCAAACTAGAACTTCCTTATTTTAATAAAGTGAAAGTACTAAAAACCTAACGTATACACAAATTTAATGATAAGACCTTAGAAGAATTCCATTAATATAAGAAACAAGACAAGGCTCTCTACTTTAAATGCTTCTAATCACCACTATAACAGAATGTTCTAGAGAAATGCAATAAAACAAGAAAAAGAAATTAGGAGGCCCAAAAATTACAAGCAAAAAAATAAAATCATCTTTATTTACAGATGAAGATTGTCTAAATAAAATATCCAGATGAATCTAAAGACTTTAAGAACTAATAAGAGTTTGGTAAGATTGTTGGATAAGATCAATAAATAAAAATCAGTAGTGTCTGTATATACCAATAATAGCTCATTTTAAAAAGGTATTAGGAAAAAGTAACATAACAAAAAAGCAAACCTAGGAAAAAGCCTAACCCAAAGTTATAGACCTCTATAGAAAAAAATTATGGAACCTTTTTGAAATTCATAAAAGAAGACCTGAATAATTGGAGAGACACACCCTGTTAATATCTAAAAAGATTTATATATATGAGGGTGTCTATTTTTTCCCCAAATTCATCTATAAATTCAATGGAATTCCAGTTAAAATTCCAAAAGGAATATTTGTGAAACCTGACAAGCTGATCCCAAAATTCAAAGTGCCAAAAAAATAGCCAAGGCATATCATAAAATCATAGTAATTAAGACAGTGTTGTACCAGCTCAAGGATACACACAGTGATCCGTGGAACAGAATAGAGCCAAAAACAAATCTGTGCACATACGATATATTACATTGTTAGCGCACTGGATAAGCGTGAGGGTTCTAGAACTAGACATCCTGGGTGAGAATCCTCGCTCAGTCTCATATAGCCATGTGACCTTGGGCAAGTGACTTAATTTCTCTGTGTCTCAGCTGTTTCCTCTTTAGTTTGGGCATAATAACAATACCTACCTGTGAAGGCACTAGCCTACATGCCCTATCTTAACCATGTTTCCTTCTGGCCCCCTTCTGGGCAGGATGCCAACCATCCTGTATTGTAACTGTCTCTCTCAATGAACATCAGGTTCTGAGGGAACAGAGCCCCTCCATGTGAGCTACTGATCCTCAGAATGCAGCCATGCAAGGACAGTCCCTCTTGGCAAGCACGTAGCCTTTGTTCCCCTGCCTACATAAGCAACCCCCTCCCTGTTCGTGGTAGTGGGTGCAGGTGTACAACTCCGTCCAGCTGGCCACTCCTGGACATTCCCAGTAAGACCCAATAAACCCTTATGTCTCGTACGCCATCTCTGGGTCTTTTCTTCCATCTTGCCACAACGTATCCCACGCTGCTGAAGCAAGTGGGCATGTGGCCAGACACTACCTCTTAGGGTTGTTGTGAGGATTAATAGTTTAATATAGGTTAAACTCCCAGAACATTACCTTACACATAGTGAACACCAAATAATAATAATAGTAATCATTATTATCACTACACATCGGTGAGGAAAAGATAGATTGTTCAATAAATGGTGCTGGGAAAAGTGATTCATCAAATGAAAAAAAATAAAAGTAGATCCCTACTTTACATGGTAGTCCAAATAAATTCCAGCTGGATTAAAAGCTAAATATGAAAAGCAAAATTTTAAAACTTTTGGGAAAAAAGACAGAACCTCAGTACAGAAAAGAATTTCTTAGGAGAAAAAAATCCCACAAATTATAAAGGAAAATATAATGAATCTAACTTCATTATACGTTTTTCTATCTGACAGAAAAAACCATAAATAAAATTAAAAGCCAACATATATAATAAAGCATTAGAATCTATTTATATATAAATATAAACAAAACCAACATCTCAAATATAAAGTGTAGTCTATGAACACAAGTCACAGAAGCGAAAAACAGAACCGCACAGAAGCACAGCCAACCAGGCGCAACCCCACTAGTAATCTAGAGACTGCAAATGAAAACAATGAGAGATCATTTCACACCCATAAGAGAGGAAACAATCAAAATCTCATAATATCAAGCGTTGGCAAGGAAGAAGAGAAACGAACCCTGAAACAACAGTGGAAGTCAAACTTGGTACAATCTCTTTGGAGAGCAATTTGGTACATTTAGTGAGGTGCACAACACTCCCTCCCTGTGTCCTGCAGTTCTGCTTTTAGCTATGTGCCCTAGACCAGAGAAATTGTCTCGTGAATTAGGAGACCTATATACAAGGATGTTCACGACAGCTGGTAAGTCATATAAAAAAACTGGAAGAACCTAAATGCTCATTCACAGGAGAATAGTTAAATAATGATATAGTCATGAAATGGAATACTGTTAACATTTAAAATTAAAGACTTAGGGCTGGCCCCATGGCTTAGCGGTTAAGTGCTCGCGCTCCGCTACTGGCGGCCTGGGTTCCGATCCCAGGCGTGCACCCACGCACTGCTTCTCCGGCCATGCTGAGGCCGTGTCCCACATACAGCAACTAGAAGGATGTGCAACTATGACATGCAACTATCTACTGGGGCTTTGGTGGGGTGGGGAAAGGAGGAGGATTGGCAATAGATGTTAGCTCAGAGCTGGTCTTCCTCAGCAAAAAGAGGAGGATTGGCATGGATGTTAGCTCAGGGCTGATCTTCCTCACAAAAAAATAATGAAATAAAATAAAAAAATAAAAAGAATAAAATTAAAGACAGAGCTACGTTTCTCAACATGGATAAATCTCAATAATCCATAGAATTTGATAAAAATTCTATAAAGTCCAAGAACATGTAAAACAATGATCATATCTTGTTTATAAATATTTATATGTGGTGGGAGCATAAAATTAAAAACACAAGATAATAAGAATCATTAAATTTGTGACGGCAATTACCTCTGGGGAGGGATGGAGAGAGGGGAACAGAGAGAAGTAGTGAATCCTTAACTATCTATGTTTAATTTCTTAAAAAAAATCAAGCTGAAGCAAATATCATATTAAAATTTACAAATCTGGGTGAGATGTCTATAGGTATCTGTTATATTTGAAATATTTCATTAAAATATCTTTAAAGAAGCTTCATCATAATTCTTTGTGTTTGATCAGTTACAAATAAAATTAAAAGTAATCATAAGGTGATAAGATCTGAAACAGTTTAAAAAGTTAGAAAAATATGCTCTCCAAATCCCCACTTAAAAGGCAAAACCATGGCCAACTAGTCATCTTTGTATCCAAAGTACCATTTATCTATTTTGGTGTGTCTTTCCCTAAAAGAACTCATGTGTTTTCAAGTAACTTACCAAACAATTTTCATGCGCAGCTATATTCTCTGATTGTGCAAAATACAGGACACTACACTCGAGGTCTTTGGGGCAGAGTGCACACGTCCTTTTTTCCATCTTTTCTGTAACCTGAAAGACACCTTTAAGTAACATCCCTGATGAGAAACGGAAAAGTGGAATTTCTTGGTCTTCATAACTCCTCCACCAGGCTTAAAGTAGAAAGCAGGGCACTTGTTTTTATAAGAGATTCTCAACTTCCAGGGGGACAAAAAATCGGGATTCAAGTGGAAAAGCAACTTATTTTGTATTTTTTTAATGGCTTAATGAAAGAAAAGAAAAAATTAATGAATTCATTTAAAATGTTTAAACCAGAGGAAAACGTTTATTCAGGAAACATGACCAGGAATTTAAATACAAAGCTCTCAAAACATTGCCTTGCCTATAGTAAGCTCTCAATAATAATAATTATTATTCTCATAAATCAACAAGAAAAAAATGGTGTATCCAAGAAATAGTGCTCTGGTTAACTACCTGTAAAAACTTTTTTTTAGATCCCTATGTCATACTGTATTCAAAAATATATTTTGGGTAAATTAAAGAAGTAAATGAGCAATGTACTTTAATTTAAATGTGCTTTAATCTAGCATTATAAGAAGATAGGAGAGAAAGATACGTGAATGTAGAAAATAGATTTTGTTTTAAACAGAGTGGAATGGAAGAAAGGAAAGAAACCTAAGAGAAGGAGAGCTAGGAAGAACAGGGAAGAGGCAGAGAGAGGCAGGAAAAAGCTAGCTGTTCCCAATGTCCCACTGGGGTGTCAGTGAGAGGAAACCCTCTCTAACCTATTAGTTTGCTGTTAATCTGACCAGATGCATCCATTTAACATTTCTTTGCCCTTTCTAATGCTCCTCCTCTTATTCATTTTGTTTTCTGTAATAGAAAACAGCTTTTATTTTTAATCTTCAAATTTTAGTTTTGAAACGAAGATTTATTTTACCATTTAATGGTGAAAGTTTTACATTTAGATGATGTTAACCGCTTAAGGGGTTCCTAAAAATCCTTTTTGTTATTCAAAAGTGTAAGATCTCTTGGCGTCTCTTAAATTAGGTCTTGCATTCCACAAAGTCAGAAGACTGCGCTTTGGAGCTAGCATTTATTTCACACTCCGATGAGTTTCTTTTATTAATTTCTGTTTCCTGGATTTGGTCCTACCTCACAGTGGGGAGACAAATTAGTAGTCCTTCTGCTCCCCACCAACCAAGAAAAAGGGGGGATATTGAGAGAAAACCTCTCAGATGAAATGGGCTAGCTGCTGCTTTCCATTTGTCAAACAAGCACCAATTTGGGAGCATCTCTTGTAGGAGAGTCCCTGTGCTGGCCGCTTGAGACTAGTGCTGTACAACAGAAACACAATGTGAGGGCTGGCCCTGTGGCTTAGCGGTTAAGTGTGCGCGCTCCGCTGCTGGCAGCCCGGGTTCGGATCCCAGGCACGCACCGAGGCACTGCTTCTCCGGCCATGCTGAGGCCGTGTCCCACGTACAGCAACTAGAAGGATGTGCAGCTATGACATACAACTATCTACTGGGGCTTTGGGGG